ACCCCCATCAGAGTGGATGCCAGCAGTGAAATGCAGCCTCAGCAGCGCGGCTGACACAGGCCTTTTTTGTGTCTGTTAGCAGAATTAAACAACCCCCTGAGACATAACATCAACACACACAAGGTCCCCTCTGAATATTTAATCAGGCTTATGAGTGCTAAGAGGAGCTAACCAGGTTCGTCTTAAATCAGTCACACCCTGTTAACCATGAAAGCGCTCCAACAGATCGAGCTCTCTTGGTTAAAGGGAGGAAAATAAATCGGTTGCATATTAATTGTGACCATTATAAGTGCTTTATATTAATCTGTAGATATAAGCAGACACAGCTGGTGCTGGGTAATTACTTTTATGACAAGTGTGTTTGTGTAGGACTTAGGTTGATTAAGTGTTTGAAGCCGTCTGAAGAGAGGCCTTGCTACTAAACGCTGATCAGCCCTGCCTGTGGGATTAAAATCCTTCACCCACTTCAGTGTAAACTCCAATACAATCACAACAATTATTAATCCAGTAATCCAAACAAACATGCACAAACCTTGAGTCCTGTTACTGAGGAATCTTCAGGTATGACTTTCTTTTTGCTGCTAGATTTATGGTTATTAATAGGAAGAAAGGAAATCACTCCGCAGCCAGACAGTGAATGAGCGGCCTTGTTTATCTGGTGACTGTGCACTATATCATCTCCTCTAATCCAGAGAGAGAGGGCAATAACTGTTCACAATAAAAGGTCACTTCTGCATAAGCCTGAGCTGAAAAATACCAGCCAGGGGTTAAGGGGCTAGTAAAAATTCTATCATTTCTGTCCATGGATGAAAAGAGAAAAAGAGAGGGAGAGAGAGAGAGAGAGAGAAAAAAAAGAGAGAGGAGAGAGGCTGAACTCTGAATACAGATCAGGGAGGAATACGTTCATGAGATGAACGGCACAATCAGGCAGAAGGCTGAAAGCCCACCACATCCAGCAAAGAGCACTTTTGTGCTGAGAGGATTGTGTCTTAATTAGAGTCTGCCATTGAATGACTTGAGACAAACAGCATCTGCAAAGAGACAGGTGTTCATTTCCCATGGCTATTACTAATGGCTCATCACATATTCTCTTATCGCCATCTCACAGCAAATTTAATACGATGGCATGTCCCAAACAACATATTGAAATATTAAATAACCTGTATGAGCGGTCATCTGTTCAGCACGATTCATCATTGGCAGGGTACGGTTTTCTAAAGGAGATCAAATTAGAATATTCCCTTCCTTCACTGAGACTTTTCACTGTTAACTGTGAGGTTTTGACTGAATAAAGTGACCTGTGGGTAAAAAAAAATCTCTGTTTTCATTTAACAAGATTTACAGTCTCCGGTAATAAAGGCTGAAGCGGTGCTTTGCGGTGAATGCTAATGTCTATATTTTACAATGATGATATTCAGCAGGTATCAAATGCTCTCTTTTCGTGGGGTGTGTTTGCATGCTGAGATGTCTTTACTGTCATTAAACAAAAAAGTGCAGCTGATGAAGATAGCAGGATGTTTTTGATCATAAACCAGAGTATTAAAAATAGGTTATTAAAAAGCTGAGGGATTCATGCTAACATTAAGATGTGAATGAGATTTTTGTCATCCTAGCTCAGCAGCATGCTAACATGGTTATTGGCAGTTAACACAAACTAGGACTTGGACAAAAATTACAGTATCAAAAGATTCTGAGCTACCAGTGGATAAATGATGCATAGAGGTTACAGCTTATGTAAATCTACTACCATTCTTGTGTTGTAGTTCATTAACTTGACTACCCCTTTAATTTTAAAATCTTTGAAAAATGGAATTACACCGCCTCAGCTGACATAACTGAGATTGAAGGACACTCAAGCTAAAAAAAACCTCTAATACCTGGCGCAAAAAGTTGCTTAAAAGTGGGATCTCCCAGGGCCTCAGTGAAAGATGACGCCCCAGGTAGACCTGGAATAAAAATATATGAGGTTTTCTCTGCATTTTTTTTCTCTCAGTTTTAACTGTTATGACTAAAGTGCAATAGGCTGAATATTAAACATGATTCTCAAATCCTTATCTGTAGAAGACCTTCAGTATCTCCTTGGGACCATCTTATCCTGTGATGTACGAAAGTACATTCATAAATACATATGTTGTCTATCCATTCATCCATATCTACATGCATACATACATATAAATATATATACACACAAAGTGAAATGTATTGTGTAAATACATGTATAAATACATATGTTGTGCATACATACAAACATAAATTTACATAATTAAGTGTATAGTGTTAATTCTTTTTATAGTTATCAGTGATTTTAAATATATGTTTCTACCTCCACTATACACATTTACAAACCTTCATCTTCACTTCACTCTGATGTATCTGGTGTTTTCATCTCTTTTATTTTCTAGAGACCCAAGATTTTGTGAGGGCGGGTAAGGAAAAACTTCTATTTATTCAACATAAAAATTATAATAAATAAATAAACTCAAATTTTTATTATTTTATGGACAGGGCAACTTAAAAACTGCTTTGAAGTCTCACATGAAAAAAAATTGTTATGATTTAAAGGGATATTTCGTCGTAAAATTGAGTTAAGGACAAACACACTGTAACACCGAGTTAGACACCCCATCGAGAGATGAATGTTGCTGACCACTTGCTTTTCTAGTTATACCAACTTTAGTAACGACCGCAGATAGCAATACAGGACTGCAGCTAGAAATAAGGCAAAGCTAAAAAGATGTTTAATGGCTAGTGCTGTGGCTGGGACCTTATTTGTACTGTTGATGAAGTTAGGTGCTGTTCTGAGCATTATTTGTGGCTATAGAGTAGCGTTTTGGTTGAGCGCGTGGCTATGAGTACTGCTATTTGCGGTCTTTACTAAAGTTGATATAACTAGAGAAGCAAGCAGTCAGCAACATTCATCTCTCGAACTTGGTTTATGGTGTGTTTGACCCAAACTTCCTTTAACGCCAGAATATCCCTTTAAGACAAGTTAAGCAAAGAGCCTGAATCTGACTTTTGAAGTATTACAGATGAAACAGTGTTTGAACTTTTCTAAACTTGATTGTACAAATGTTCATGTGTGAATATTATATGTAAAAACTGCAGTTCTTCCTGGTTAAACATCAAGCTCTTTTTTTTTTTTAGCTTTTGATTGGTCATAAGGGAAGTGAAGTTGGTTGTTTTTGTCTGTGGTGGGGCCCAGTGTGTTATTGTTTCATGGGGCCCTGAATTACTTGTGACGCCCCTGCAGGTGCTACCTGTCAGCCCACAACTACCCTGCCCTTTGTCTAATAAAGGCATACGCTTTTCTAGACATCAGAGTAAATAGGGGTTGCTAGTGCAATCAGCATTGGCTGACACAGAGAAATGCATCTTTGAGTTCATGTCCTTTCTGGATGCTTCTCATTTATCTTGACTGTCAAGTAAGGAGAACATGATAATGGAAGGTGAACACTTCAGTGAGCGCTCTCTGTCTGCCAGCCTACCATACAATGCCAAATAATGAAAACTCTGCTCAGTGGACAGAGTGGATGTGTTAGTGTGAGTGTGTGCAGCGTGTGTGGGATGGGTCGGGTGTTCCTCTAGTCATCTGGCAGCACATCTCTGCCTGTGTGAGAAACTTGGGTTACATGGAAAGGAAATAGTAGAAAAAATCACCTCTAAAACGGTTTGAGATACAGAAGCTCACATATATGTGGAATGAATACAAAAACCTCCAAATGTACAGTATATCCTCATTCCATCAAGTCTACACTTGAAGATACAACTAACCTGCAATGTTGATTTTCACTCACTAACTTTGGTGCTTTCCTAAAACACAATAATTAAGCTGCTTTTTTGAAAATAAAACCTACATAAGTTGGGACATTTAAGATTGACTGAATATAGTTTCATTCATTTTGTACTCATTCACCTTTTATTGTAGGGAGGAGGTACAGCACTGAACAGACCAAGCAGACTTTATTGAGTGTACAGGCACCCCCCTCTGCTGGTTCAAGGCTCAATTGCACTTAAATTGCAACTTCATTTAAAGGAACAGTCTGGTTATTAATGTTCAAATGCAAGTACCACCAAACAACTGATACTAAACAAATATCTTGTGATACAACCACAGCTTGTTGAAGATCAGATGATTTCCAACCATGTAAGATGAGTAACAAAGTTTGACTGCTCCATAGAGTTTTAAAAAATCAAACTGTTAAAAAGACATGGGTGTGATTATTTCTTTTCATCTACTGAGACATTTGTGGATTTTTCACAAATAGCATAAATTTGGAGACTGCTATCACAAAACGCACTAGTCAGTTTTAACATATGAACTCACTTTGCTGCTAAGGACTTGCCCTAGCAAAGCAAATCATGTAGGTGTAAAATAATAAAAATAAAACATTAAAAAATACTTTAACATTTGTCGGAAAATCAAAACGTTGACTTGATCCCGTGTATTATCCCAGTACGATGAAACAACTTAACCATGCACTTTGGGCATGTGATAAATGTCTAACAAGTTTCTTTTAGACTCTTGCATAAAAAAATCACAGTACACTAAGGAACACTACATTAATACGCAATAATTTTAACAATTATGTATGTACAATAATTATTGTCTTATGCTGAAATTAGGCCAAGTTTGAATGAAAATGAAACTGAATCCTCGAACTGAAAGCAAGATGTTTATGTCTTAAATGGTTGTGTCTTTAAAGAAGAAAACAATCACAAAAACCTTTTTTTAAATTTTTGGAAACTTTTATTTTTAAAGTCATAAGCATCAAGAAACACAAAATAAACTCAACTTTTTACAGTAAGAAATACTCACAGTGTGCATGATATTAGGCAGACATGTGTCTTAACTGATAAAGCCAATGGTTTGTTTCAGATAATAAGCAAATGGGACACATTGGTGACTTAAAAATAATGTAGGTAATGTCCCAATGTATGGAGGCTAGGATGCGTCAGTCACAGGTGACAAAACAGGACCACTTTGTGCAGAATAATTCCCCATTTCCTCAACAGGCCGGGACAAGTGCAATACCACACTTGTACACAGCATTGCTACCTCTCCCAACCTGCACAGAAAGGGATCGCCTCTGAGGGATTTTTTTCAGTTCTATGATCAGTTTTGCATGGATTTGCACAGCAGTACAGTAAAAAGCTGAAAGCAAACCAGCAAAACTAACCAGAGACCCATGTGCACAAGAAACCTCTGCAGCTTTCGGGGAAGAACACAAGTCTAGGAGTACTTTAAGTGCTCACATTGCAGTAGAATTTCATAAAACTACCTGCACTATAAGCACTTTAATACTACTGAAACCTCTTTTAACATCTGTACTGAGGCCTGATTGGCCATGATGGAGGAGAAAATGTTCACTTAGAGGATTTGGATGGAAACACAGGCCACCATCAGTTTTGCATAGATTTGCACAACTTATTTTTTCTCGCAGCGCAACTATGCAAAACTGACAGAGAACTGTCACAATGACAGTTTAAATATACAGACTGAATATACAAATATACAAACACAGCAGATGAGAATCCCAGCTCCTTATGCCAGAAGGAGCACTTAGGGCAGTAGGTGCTAGTCTATTTCACTATCTGCACTAGATGCACCTTAGCATAAGCACCAGTTGAAATTGTACCAAGTATCTATTCGGTAGTAATTTGTGCACTTCCATAAAAAAAGTTCAGAATCACAGTATCTGGTATTTTGCTGTTTCTAGATTATGAGTCCTCTAAGTGATAGCAGTCCTTGTCGGCTCCACAGATTCTGTGCCCGGCTGCTGTCACTCAGAGTTCAATGACAGGATGCATGATGCTTAACAAGCATCAAGAATGTTTGATATTAGGGGCCCAGCTCCAGTTCTATTTTCTCAACAGGAACTGCAGGGCGCCAGAAGCAACCGCAGGATGGAGGCAAGGTCCCCCAACATGTGTATTCAGAATATGTCATTCCCGGATAAACCGTTCATGTCTGTGAATAAACCTGCTTCTTTGCTTGCCATCATCAGAATAGTGCTGAAAGTGCCTTCACTGCAGTAGATTCTATTAAACTACCTGCACTGTAAGCACTTTGACACTACAGTGACTTCATGCTGTTCTTAGGGAAGACTGCATTCAGAGAGGAAAACAGGGTGCCCTTAAATCCACACTGAGGGGCTTTCCAGGGGAGATAAAGATGCACACAGGGGTCTGCAAACACAAAGGAGACACTGCATTAAAATTAAATCAGCAAATCTTAGTTTACAGTTGAAATACAATGCAAGGATCGTTAAATCAAAGCTTACATATGTTCTCTAAATAATTATAAAGACATAATAAAATATTGAAAAGGCTGATTGTTGGTGAAACCATCAAGTGTTTGAAAAATTCCCTCCCTCATTACAAACTGGACTGATGCAAACAGTAGAACTTGAAGTATTTGTTTTCATAAGTGATAAAACATTAATCCAAATGCAGACAACCCATCTGTTGCTAAAAGCAAGTAATAAATTATGTAAGCATTACTTCAAATTGCCAGTAATTTACTGAAGACTGAGCTGTACAGCTTAGCTGTTTATTCAACTCAAGATGACCCCTGCCAGGATGGTGGGTTTGTAAACACAAGAAAGTAGGTTAACAATGCTGTTCATGCCTATTACCCAACAAGGTCTTCATAAAAAAAACTGTCAAAGTAATCTCAAAGGGGGCCAAAACTAGAGGAAAAATAAATCTGTTTTCAATGCAAATGAAGCTGTAACATAACATTGGTTTATATATCATTTGATTCAAATCATCCATATGAAATATTCCTGCTTTATTATTGCAAACCCCTTACTTTATCACCTCGTTTGTGTTCAAAAACATTTCAATCTTAAAAGATGGCAAACTTTTGAAGTTGTTCAGCCAAATTCTTAAACCAATTTTACTTGAATTTGGCTCTAACGCATTAGACGAGTTTCCCACGTTGTGTTGGTCGCCCTGCCACTGTAAAAAACAATTTGGCACACTGGCCTTTGCAGAAAGCCCCTATACTCCGAGCAGGGTGGCATCCTCCAGCCCGCCTCAATGCTTATCTCTGCGTGTTTGGATGCAGGGAGAAGTTCAGGTGGGCGCTCTGCGTCAATGGGACTGAAAGTTTGGGTTCAACGGAGAAAAAAACAACAGCGGTAACCTCATGTCGCAATGTCTTGACAAAGTTCAATGGGAAACCTGAGCATGAACGAGGACTAGTAACGTTTGAGGATAGCAACACTTGCGCTCTGGTCACATTGGTATACCCCTCCCCCACGCACTAACATGGCGCCTAGAAGTCCGCATTTTGAGCGATTAATAAATCTATTTCCAGCAATAGAATAACGCCACTCGAGTATAACTTCGTTTAAGACGTTATAAAATCTGTGCAATAACATGTGCTCGTAGAGTGTGCGCTCATTGAGACTGGGCGCACCATGCGTATGATAGGAGCTACTGCAAACTTAAGTCAGAATCCAGCACACAACAAGCCCCGATGGCTCCATCAAAACAGTCCTATCAAGCATGTGCTAGCAAATGAGGCTAGCGCGTGTAACCTGTGAGTACGGTTAGCTTTCGGAAAATAGTTAACTTAAGACAGAGGAATGTTTATACTTATATTAAACATCACCAAACACCCATAAGACACGATAAGTTAGTGAGATAAAGCTCTCCAACCACTTCGGAGCATTCTCTTTTTTTAGCCGAGTAGCCGCTTTGCTACAGCTAACCCATATTTCATATCAGTGTGTTACCAAGCGCTTGTAAACAATGACATTCCCACGCAATTTAAGCACAAATATGGTCAGAAGGGTTACAATTTATTAAAGTAACTTGAGTAATCTTCTTATACGGTGTGTTAGCAACGAGCTAAGTCATCGGCTCGCGGGATAGCAAAGGCGCGCGGCCTGCTTCCACCCCATGTGCTGCTGCTTTGTTCTGCAGGCACTTTTTAAGTGTTCACCGCAGCGCACAACCCCGCAGCAAACTCATCCATTCTGTCAACATGTGCTCGCAAACAGGAGCACAAGAGGACACAACTTAGAGCAGCGAATAAAGTATTTAACGTGGATTTTTTTTTCTCCCCCCACATCCCGAAGGTACCGACCACAGATGCAGCAGCAACACATGCTTTTCAAATCTCCCTCATTCTCCAACCATGGAGGAGAGGTTGCCATGCGCCCCTTACAACATTGTTTTCAAATGCGGAAACTGACGAATTTAACGTTTTTCCCTCATGGAAAAATGAAAGTACGGCTCGGGTGTCGCTTATAAGGCTAAACATTTCACTTTCCTGGCGTTTACCGCATCTCCCGCAACAGCTAACAACAGGTTTCTTGCCAATAACATGCGCGTAATAAGATACTAGCTTCTAAAAAATCCACCATCTTCACTCACTTGTACAGACTTACCGTTTACTCACACTGTTGCGGGCGTATCTGCAAAACTGAAAAAATAAAGGAAGAGTCTACAAATTGTGTCACAGATAGGACGCATAATCCAGAAAACAAAACCATGTGCTCCTATTTTGATTTGCAAGGAGTTTGGGAATCGTAGTAAGATTGCGAAAGTGGCGCGAGTAGAGTCTGGGTTCAACCATGTGGTGAATGAAGGGCGGCTCCCAGCCAGCGTAGCTAAACCCCAACTCCTTCATTAGCATAAATCAACTACTTCCTCTCCAAGTAAGACTATCAAGTTTCTCTTGATTCACACTGTTGATTAGCAGGACACAAAGTTAACGAAATTTATTTACGGCATAAAAAAATTATCTACAATTAGACAGAGAAATAAATTAGAGCCACATAAATAGCTTATTATCTTTGGGAAACCAACAGAAAAGTTGCACAAGTCAGGAACAACATATTTTTAACGTCTTTCTAACACATTTTTTTTCTGCCTTAACTATCATGAGTAAATTATTTCTTTAAGTAGAAACAGTAAGAATATAAACAGCATTATAAACCACACTGCTCACTCAAAACAACCATTTATAATTAAACATCAAATAATTTCCCTTTAGAATTTTTTTTAAACATGAAGTCTATTAATCCTAAAAAAAATAAAAATAAAAAAATAATAATCATCTGTTGAAGACAATTTCAACCAATCAATAAGTATTTATACAGCACTTTTCATACACAACCATGTAGCACAAAGTGCTTTACACAGAAAAAAGGAAACAAAGAATACCCAAACCTACCTCAGCCCAACTCCTCATTTCCACCACACGATCTAAATGCATCAGAAACAGTATTAAAATGCATAAACTTAAAAAGGGCTTGATTTCGTGGAAACAGGAGTGTGTGCACTGAGGAAACATCGTTTCAAAACTCAGGATAAGGAAACACTGGAGGTTTAGGTTAAATTCTAAAAACAAAGTAGCATAGAATTAGATTTAAGAAATAATAAATACAATGAAATAAAAACATCAGGAAAAGATACTAAAATAAGAGCACCAAGGTGTATTTGCTAAATGTGGGAATTCAATCTCCAAAGTGAATGTTAAAAAGTTACACAATTTTATCTTTCTTTTACTGATTATTGTGGGCAATATACTTATATTAATTACACAAACATGCACATAACAAAATATACAACAAAATTCTTAATGTACCCGTAATGGAAGAGTTTGGAAAACTCTCTCAGAGAGGAACAAATACTGTTTCTACTCTGATAATTAGTTATTGGGATCAATGAAAGAAGTAAAACAAAATGCAGTCAACTGCCTTAAATTAAAAAAAAAAAACATCTGCAGGAGGTTCTATACTACATTTATAAAGGGTTAGTATATTGATTTAATTGAGTAACAACACACTAAAATTGCTACATCCTCCATGAAATTATCTGTATTTGCTGTGATAGCACCCCCACAGAAAGCTATTTTATTTTAGCAGCAGTTTACTCCCTAACCTGTGGTTATATTTTTTTAGCCCTGGCCCTGTTCTATGACTCAATCCAACCTTGTTGCATGAGAGTAAGACTTTATTTTAGCCACGAACATCTGGGGGAAAAAAATGACAGATTCACACAGAGACCAGAAAATATTAATGTTACACCCATCAAAGGGTTTTTTAGCTGAGACTCCCCTCTCTGAATGGATGTGAGGAATGTTCCTCCTTAAGCAGAAATGTGGGGAATTGTCTTCCTTAGAACCACGGCTCCGACTATTTCACCTTTCACCCCTGGATTCAGTCATGTGTGAAGTCAAACAATGGGGGCACTGAATTCAGAGTTTCCCTCCACTTCACACAGATCAAAAATACAAAAGAGTTAAAAAAGAAATACTGATTTAGATTTTGATGAGTACCAATTATAACCACAAACAACTGCTCTATGCATATTATGTCAAGATGTTTATGTAGTGAAAGACAAATTTAATAAAAGTAATTTTACATAAACAAGGACAAGAGAAAACAACTGTTCAAAGGAATGACAGTCAACTGTGAAGCATTTCTGTCTGTAACTCCAGTCTGAGGGTTAAAACAATGACAATTTTTTGATGCTTTCAAACTTTTGACTGTTTTCCCATTTTTAAATTTAGGAGCTAAATAGTATCAATTTTCTCAACTAGTTAGACACAGAATTAACAGCTGTAATTTAAATATAACATTTGAAGTATGTCCAGAGCACACAATCCTATTTTCACAAATACTTTGCCGTACTACAACATTACCAAAACCCATTTTTTCTTTAAACACAAAAACAGTGCCAAGGACAGGGCAAACTCTTTTCTGGAGTGGGCTCAACTCCAATGGAATTAAAGAAACTTTTTTCCAAAGTCTGAGTAACTTCTGCGAGAGAAAAGAAAAGTAAGTACAAATCAAAATAAAGTATATAAGGTTTTAAATACTACTTCTGCAAATAAAGTCTTGGCAAATGTCTTGTTGAAATAAAAACAAGGCCATGGTTAATTTGGAGAAGATTTTTATCCCACTCAAACATCTGGGAATTAGAAAATAGATGCATCAAAAGGTTAAAATAATGCAGGCCTGCTCAGCTGTTGGTGAAATTTCAAGCTATTTGTAGAAATATTAATGTCAGAAAATACTGGAGAATTATAGTGAATTTTAGTTTGTAGTTATCTGTAATTGTTTTGTTTTTGTTAAAGTGTATAGATTACAGACTTGATGCATGCTGTCTCTGATATTAAATTGTAAGTGCTGTGTTTTAGACAAAAACACTCTACTTTTTAGACTTTTTTTGAGTTTTAACACCCGTAATGACATAGCTGCAAATTTAATTTCCACAAAATACCAAAAGGGATGTTTATCACCTGTAATTAGGAGTCTGATATACACTGCGCATTTGTACAAAAGAAAATCAACGAAAAATAGGTTAGTCTGATCATAGCATCATTGTTAATTTTGTAAAAGTTTGGATCTTAGAACAAAAACAAAAGAGGACAAAAAAAACTTTAATGATAGATCAAAACAAATTTGGTAGAGTAACTTTATTGGTGTGATGAAGTTATGCGGGAGAGTAATTCCAAAATCATTATAGTTCAATTTTGGTAATTCAGATGAAATGACAGGTGGTTGAAATTAAAGGAAAATTTAAGTTGATTTACTAAATACTACTCCCTCTAGAATGCAAGTCTACAAAACTCAAAGAACATGGAACAGTGAGTCAAATCAAAATTTTATCAACTTAAAATCTGACCAAAAGTCCAGGATAACAGAAACTGTATCAAAGCAATCACAAAGTTGTTTAAAAGTTAAACTTCTGATTTGGTGTTAAAGTTGTATAAAAAATATAAAACGATATATCCAGATAATGTGATGAATGGCGCTTGTAATGGTTTTGTTGCATAATGTAGCTTTTAAAACTATGTTTTTGTAGAAATCTTGAAATATGTTGAAACGTATTGAGTGTTTTCTCGACATGATAAACGAAAAAGGGACTTCATTTGCTTTATCTTTGTGAAAAAAACCTGAATTCTTCTCTGAAAAGGGTTGCCTTAATTGTTTTAGTTTACTGTTTCGATAAAGGGGGTGCTATGCGGAGTTATTTCATGTTATTTTCGGGACTTAGGCGAAAATAAGTTTTGCGTTTCGTTGCGCAGTATTTGAGCCTACTCACCAGCCGTAGGTCATACCCTGTACACTTACGGCTTTTTTCCGCGGAAGCAATAATGACCTGCCAAAATAATGTACCACAACGTAACTATCATGATGTTTTGAAGTTGTTTATTACACAGATTATTTTTTACAGTAACATTTTCAATATCTTTATTTCATTTTAGGCAGTACAGCCAAATTTCTTTGCCATTTTAATGAATTGTTTGTAAAAATATTAATCTTTTAGTTTTATTTTGAAAGTTGTAATACTTGACTTCCGCTATCATTGCCGCATGCATGCCTCTCTGACATCAGACTTCCGCCCCCTCCACATTTTGTGCTTCATGTACTTTTTAGCTGGTAAAACCTGGCGTGTGTTGGTCCAGGAGAGGGAAAGGTGAGTTGAACTTTACGGGTGTAGGATAGTTATAACTCCATTGCATGTAATTTACATTTTTTGAGAGGTTAGCAACATTTGAAGCATAATCGTGAACGTAACCTGCTGCCTGAAACCACACTCACCATTTGCACTGTCTTTCCTCTGTTATAGTGTAGGGAGGTGAACTCATTTCAACATTTATATCAGAGCACAACCTTGAACAACAGATAGCAAGGTATTTTATATCAAAAGACGAACTGCCACTTAATGATAAGCAGTATGTCGTAGATTTTCAGCACATCAAACAGTATTTTCTAGGCTGGCATTCAGTCTACAGCTGCACAGCCAAAATAAATATACATCAGTTTTCCCAGGTACACTCAGTTTGACTGTTTCAGTATCAAAGCATACCAAATAAATAGGTATTTAAAAGTAGTATGGGAAAGCTAAACTAGTGGACTACTATCCACAAAGGCAGTATGAAATGAAACTTTTGAATGAAGACAAAGAAGACAAGAGTACTCTATAGTTTCAGCACATGTATAATAACTATCCTCCAGTGCTATGAAGGAGAAACAAGAACAATTAATGCTTCAATCAAAAGAGAGTTTATCTGAGCACATGGAGCTAAATGACAATCCCCTGTTTCCCATGCTCTCACCTGATTAACCTGACCTGTATCTGTTCATTTAGCATGAAAGACTCATCCTTTCCCTTCCCTTGGTTACAAGATTGATTTTTTAAAGACTAGAAATGTATTAAAAATGTTATCTATACATAATTATGTAAGGTTCAACCTGCAGTTAACATGTAGTGTGTCTTAATTGTTATCAACCATTTGTTAATTTGCTGTACTCCTTTATAAGGGGGTAAGCATCACTGCTGGTGTATTATATGATTTTGAGGTGTGTAAAACACATACTGTATGTCAACTAAAGCAATTCAATTTTAAATGCAGTGGCCAGGTATTTCAGAGTGAATAATCCACTAACTGAACATGAATACAGATTTGTTCATTTTAAATGTGCACAATTAAGAGTGTCAAAATCCGCTGTCTCACAAAAATTACCTTTCATATCTGTTTTCCTGGTCTCAAACATCCCAGACCAAATTTGAGGTACAGGAAGAACTTGCAACTTGAAACATGAAATTGGACATATAGCACCCCTTAGCTGAGATTTTAAAGGTCCATAATACACCTTTGTCATCCCAAAAAGTCAACAAATAACAACCTCAGATACATGCCTTTTATATAAAAATAAATAAATTTAAAAAAGAAACTTTGCAATGAATCGAATGACTGAATCCTTCTTTTTTAATTCAGGAAGCAGTGAAATGTTCCTCTGCAAAATGCTTGAAGCTTTTAAAAGACTTTCTGGTGCCTCATTTTGCAATTTATTACTGGTTTTATTGACACATATTCAGGAAAAAGACTGTCAGCTGTTGCCTGTCAATAATTTGAATCTGTTTTGCGCTGTTTTCTGTTTACTCCTGCCAAATATCGTGGCTCAAGGAGTCACATGTCAGGAGATATTTGACTGTTAGATGGCTTCCAGTGTGAGACATTTTTTAGGAGGCAAGAATGACTTTCCCAGTGGTTAGGATAATTTATTCTCAAAGCTCAGCCAGAGTGTTTTACAAAACTTATTTTTCTGCTTAAGTAGAATCTAGACCAAATGTGAAGAAATTTCACAAGCTGAACTTTCTGTCCAACAAGATGTAATGAAGTAATTAGCTTCCACAGCTGCCTTTAAATCTTACTTTTGACAAAAATAGCTGTTCTTTAAAAATGTTTTCTTCTTTTTAGTTGGGCAGATTGATGGCTGCCTGTGTGCTGTGTCGACGGATTCCCCGGCTACGCTGCCTCCCGGGCTTCAGTAAGGACTTCACTCAGGCTCAGCACGTGCATGTCAAACGAGCAGATGAGACTGATGATCATGAGGGGGGGCAGGGAGCATTGCAACACCAGGAATCCTCCTCACTGGACGGATACAGGCTGCATTACAATCCTTCATTATATCGTCACTCTGTGAGGAAGTCTGCAGCCTCCTGGAGCCACACGGATAATGAGGAGGATGTGCCGTGTTTCTCCACCATGGTACCTTCCCTCCGGCAACAGAGCAATCACTACAGCGTGAGTTGCTCGCGGCATCTCTCCAGCTCAAAAAACACACTCCTTGACTTAGCATTTGACAAAAGCCCTGAACAGGAGAGCTCATCAGTGTCACTCCTCCACAGAAAACACCCAGAGCCAGATGTCAGAGTAAATACACGTGCTTTCCTCAAATGCAGGCCAGCGTATGCTTCAGTTACCCTTGACCTTACCCAGCGGCCGCACCCCATCCAATGGGAACATGCTATGCAAGTGCTTAATAAAGTGTTTGTTTTAAAGGGCAGCATGAAACCATCTGATGTGTCTAATTTTTTTGTGGAGCTCAGCAGCTTACAACCAGACATGTTGTCATTAGTGAGGAGCAACCCATACTTCAACATGCTGCTTCGATATTCTGTGGAACATCTTCGCCTCTTCACTGATTCTGAGCTGCTGGAGGTGCTGAAGTCGTTTGTGTGGCTGGACATGCCCTCAGCTCACACTGTTCTCACTCTGTACGAGGACGAGCTGAGCCGCCGGGCTCACCAGATGACTTTACACCAGCTGTTGTTTGCTGCTGACTTATGGCGCTGTATTAGAAAACAGGTTCCCCAGTTCTTATCCCACCTGTATAATTCAGTGCTTCTCAATCTGAAACAAGTTGAAGTCCCTGAGCTTGTGCACCTGTGCTATGTAATGGGAGAGGGCAGAAAGTGCCCACCAGACTTGATCCGTCCTCTAGAGCAGCTTCTCAAGCGACATGTGCCAAAGCTGTTACCAGAGGAGGTTGGTATTGTCTGTCTGGGGCTCTTCAAATCCCAGACTTCCTTATCTGAAAGTGCAGTGACTTGTATTGTTGATAAGGCTCACTCTTTTGTGGAGGAGATGAGTGACTTTGCCATGGTGAATGTGATGAAATACCTGCGTTTCAGCTACGTTTATCACAGGTCATGGATTGAGGCGATGGACAAGGAACTTCCTCGACGGGCCGGTGGGATGGGTGTCCAGGGGCTGATGCACGTAGCACTCACCTGTTCAGCGCTGCACTCTCGCAGCGATGACGTCCTCATGGCGATCGCTGAGAGGATTCCCACCCTTTGGCCGCACTGCAGGATCAAAGATGTGTCCAAACTGCTGTGGGCTTTTGGGACATTACAGTTTCTCCCCGAGCAGAACCCAAAGTTTTATTCCAGTCTGACGGACACCCTGAGGCAGTACAAAGCAGAATTTGAGCAATACCCAGAGCATCTTCTGACTGGTCTTCAAGGACTGGCCTATGTCTCTATATTCCCAAAGGACCTTTTGGAGTTAGTTTTGAGTCCTGACTTCATAAAACTAGCGCTTAAATCCTCACAGCTGGATCTAAGAAAAGACTTGCTCACTTTAGATGGAGTTGTTGCCATGGAGTTTCCTCATTGGACCGGACCACGGCTGAGCAGTGAACTGAAAGAGGAAGTAAAACAAATGCTGTGGAAGTTTGCTCAGTCAGATGTTTGCCTGAAGCCACAGGTGCTGGAGGCAGAGTCTTCTCTGCAGGATCTACTCGGAGGAGAGGCATTCGTAAAGAAGACGATGATTTTACCTCACACTCGATCCATTGACCTGGAAGTACACCTGGACTCCACTGGAAAGCCCATTCCTGTGGACTCAGAACCTGACTTATCTGCTCTACCCCTAGAAAAAGGTTCTTCTGAACCTCCCTCTGACCAGGGCTGGGGGAAAACAACTTCAGGAGTGACTTTAACAGACGATCTGTTCGCACAGCTGATAAATTCCAAAAAGACTCCAGAACCTTTAACCTCACCTCCCACGTTAAAGCCAAAACCTTTTCACATAAAAGAGAAGGATGACAGAAAAATGCTCTTTAATACGGGGCTAAAACTAACCAGTGAAATCATGGAAGCTCTCACTAAACCCAGTGACCCGGGTTCATCCCCTCAGGACTCTAAAAGGATAGTCAAACTAGCTATCCAGGTCTCCAGCAGGAACCACTACTGTTACCATTCGCAGCAGTTGATGGGGCTTCATGTGATGAAGAGGAGGCAATTGAAGCTGGCAGGATACAGGGTGGTAGAGCTCAGCAACTGGGAGTGGTCTTCCATGTTGAGGAAAAGCAGGACTGAGAAACTGGCGTACTTGCACTGCAAAGTCTACAACAGCATGTCATGATTCGCTGACCTTCAGGAGCCAAAAGAAATATCAGTAAACTCTGACTGCTGAGTTACCGCTAGACTATACTTCTACTATAATGCACTCATTGAGGCCTTTTTTGGCTCCTGGAAAATCTGCAGTTTATTTTCTTCTCGGTGCAAAGCACAGAAAATGCTCTGTAAATCGATGGATTGAGGTTCATTTTAATCCAAAATAAATTTGTTGAGGAATTTCTCAGAATGTGTGGCATTCAGGACATATTTGTGAAAATAGAAGACATTAAAAAACGTTAACTCTTCACAGTCGTGGTCCAAGATGTGGTTTTCTATTATCGTGTGAGGTAAAATTTTGAATGAAGTTTCTGTCTGTTGTGTGCTCATATTCAAATGTTTTTAGGAGCCTGATGTAGGTGTGTAAAAAAACATTGTTTTGATATCACATTCACTCATGCATGATGGCTTTCTTATAGGTCAGTGCATCTATTTCAAGAGTTATGAGATTACCGTCCGCTTTGCACATCAAAGGTCAAACTTTCTCTTCTCAGCTGATGAATCTCGATGAACACAGTTTTCTACGAGTTTGTCCTTGTTTTAGGAGTTTGGCTGCTATTTAAACTTGATAATGAAAGTCTTCAAATTCCTGTCGCACTTGAATGTAAAGTAGAATAAATGGTTGCTATTAATGTGAAGCATATTCACTTAGAATCTCCCAGAAAGCAGACACTCTTGTGTTACAGGATTTGTCAGACAAGCTTTAGCACTCACTCAGCTCCGTCTAAGAATGCTCATTTGGACTGGAGCTGAGCGGTTGGTCGGGTGTTTTTTTTCTGCTGTGAATTTGATCATAAAGCGGCTTTTTAATGAGCTAAAAGAATTGCACTTTCTTTGTGTAATTAGAAGCCTACTTGTTGGACTGAAAATGTCTAACAAAAAAAATATTGTTTCAAGGGTTTTAAGTCCTTGAATTAAATTAGCTGTAATTGACGGTGCTTGACATTCTATTTTAACTTGTGTTTAATCACCTGAATACACAAAATAAAAGGATCATTATGTTCCCTTAAGTGCGACATCCCCACTAACTTTTGTATAAATGCTTCCTGAGAGGTTCAAAGGTATTGACGGTAAAGGAAAAAGACAAGAACCTGACTAAACAGCCATGCACGATGTGATGTGAGCAGCAGATCAGATCAAAAGTTTCAGCCCTAATTTTAAATTTGCTGAACAAACCAGAAAGTTGGACACAAGCCTGCAGACTGGGGAAATAATCATCTCGCACTGGCTGTTTGGTGTTTGACTTCAGAGGAATTTGCTGCAGAGGTCGTCCTTCTGTTTCAACTTCTCTTGCAGGGGTAAGAAGTGTCCACGGATAGTGAGTTTGTGTTTTAAAGTTTGAAGTAGAGAGACACTGTAACTTATCCTTTGGCATAGACATGATGCATTTTAAGAAAAGTGCATATTTTTGAACTTATTCCATGCCGTATTTCTCTGACAACTTGTTCTTACCTTACAGGTCAAAGTCTACTCCACCTCTGACCTACGTTCACCATAAATCAGGTACATTTACTATAATACATGCCCCCACTTACCCACACATCTCACTCCATTCATATACCTGCAATACACAATTACACAGACCATTAAAAAATTACCATACCAACTGCTCCTGCTCCCTCACAAACCGTCCCGAGGCCATTAAAACCTGGATGTCAACAAACTCGAGTTATACAGGAACAAATGGAACTTCTAGTTTTTGGCAGGAAAACATCAGAAATAATTCGACAGGACTGGAGAGATCTGTCGTCACAATAGTGCCGGCAGCGGAAATTTATGAACGGTTTTTGACAGCAATCTGACCTTGGATGAACAGATGATGTTTGTGGGTCATCCACTCTTCTTTCTATCAGAAATTGAACTCAAAGATATATTCTGTTTTAGCCCACCAGTACTGACCGCCTTTCTGTTTAATAATAGGTTTTAAGATACTGGCACTGATTGCCCTGCTATATATCTGTGCTCTTAACCTTATCCGCGCCATATTGCAGCTTTAGCTCCTTTGGCAATGCTCCTTTATTTGTTCCAGGCTCAAGACCAAATGTGACGGAGCACCTGTTAGATGGAACAGCCTGCCAGAAGTAATAAAGCTGGCACAACCAGTTATCTCATCTTTTAGATCTCCCCCTAAAACACTCACAAAACAGGTTTTTGTTTAAAGCTCCTGTGAGGAGTTTTTTGACGTTTATAAGATAGACTGAAATTTGCGCTTGATGCTTCTTTAAGACATACAAAAACAAGCAAGATCACATGTGACAAGACTGATGGTGTTTATACTGCAGTTTGTAATGTTTGAAATTAGTGTTAGGTGTCAAGTAGCAATATTTTAAAAATCAGGTATTTGATGCTTAAAAAATCATATGAAAATGTATTTCACAGATCTCCAACGGGAGTATCCATAGCTAAGCAGGATTTCCTCTTAACTCCTTGAAGACAAAGCCATGATGAGACCTTACCATGGGGACACGCTGGAGAGCTGACAGGTGAGCTGTGTTTCCCTTTAAGTGTTTCTTCTTTGCCTCCTTATTTCCTCTTTGTGACCCAGAAACTGTTGTTTATGCTGCTGGAAACAAAAACAGCTTAAGGGGGTATGCTTTTGGGATAGATTTGTCTGGGAAAAAGGCAAAATAATCCTTTGGGGATCGCTCTTTTTAATGCCGTGACAGTTATTGCCAACGCTAGATGAATATCTGATTTGATCATTTGAAATTCTCCCTCTGATAGAATTAAACAGAATGTCCTTCAGCAAACAAGGGAAACACAAACATTTTTCTGGCCTCTGACTAACCACGTCTACTTCATAAAGTAGAGAACTGAGATGGATTTGATTGCTTGATCGTATAATTGGTTGTTGGACCAAAAACTTAGGTTAGGATCACATCACTGATAGACAGGGGCTTTTATCAGCAAATCAAAATGTTTCCCTTCTGCTTCTGTCCTTTACTCAAAATCTCTCCCTGAAGGGAGACAAGACAAGCAGAGGGAGGAAGGAATGAAGCAGTTGGAAACACAAATTCAGTCAACAACACAGTGTCTGCCAGTGTGCGTGGGAGTGCTAGATTTTCCCCCAGGAGGAGCTGGAGGAAGCGGCTGGGAAAGAGGGACACTCTGGTTGCTCTGTTGCCATCGCCTCTTAATCAGGACCTCAAAGAAAAGTTATGCTGTATTATCTTTCTGCCAGCAGAGGGCACTCCTGATTTGGGGAACTGAAACAGTCCCATGACTCCTCAGTGTAGTTGTAGAATATTCTTATGTATTGATATAAAAGCAAAATGTTCATCAACGTGTGAAAACAGACAGTAGAGAAAAGCATTAGCAAGTTTTAGAAAACATATTAAAAAGACTGATTTTGACCTTTGGCAAATTTACACAATGTTTTCAATAATACATAAATAATGAATCTGTAAACCCAACAAAAGACAGAAACACATTCAGACTGAGTAATTACATTTTATTATGGCAGACAAAAGTTGGTAAACACTCCTCTTATTCTTCTCTCATCTGACAAACTATAAAGCAGAATTCATATTTGGTTACTTTCAAGTTGGTGTCACCCCTGCAGCTACAAATTTCACACTTCTCGGTGTGCAGGGAGCACGCTTTTGAAGTCGAGATGATTCAGTTTCTCATTTAGCTCCATTTTCTTTGGATTCAGATGCAACTCCTTGACTTGCAAATAAATCCTGTTTCCGTGTGGAGAAAAAGTTACCCATCTCGCCATTGTTACATTTGCCTTATTATATTTTCTGGTGTACACTAACAAAAGCAAACATGATCCGGGGGAGAGGGACTACCTGCTACACTGCAGCAGCGTGTGGAGTAACAGGGAGGGGGATTAGGGGTTTAGATTGGATCATTATGCTGTTGTTATATTGTGTTCAGACCCAGTAAGGTGTGAAACAATCTCTTATTTGTATCTTTATTTCAGTTGACAAGCGTTATTAACTCCTCTAAACAAAAATGAGTAACTTGTGAATGATCATTAGGCTTAGATGCTTTTTTCAGATGTGGCCAGTGCTTCACCCGCTAATGGAGGAGGCTCTGCTAGACTGAATGCTCTCTCAGTAATCCTCGTCTTATTTGCATTTCAATTCTTGTGCTTTCCTCAGCCGGGAAGCTAATCCAGCGGGTTGTGAATGTGGGCTAAACTTGAATCAACATTTCTTAAGTTATCTCATACAGATATTACTGTCTGCCTGCTCTAATTCCTTAATTTACTGTATTGTATGGAGCAGACAAATCCTCATGTCTCTTTTTCTTTAAATGTCGATGCAACAGTTCTAACAGCACTCGGCACAGGATGCAACACTTCATCGACTTGTTACTGTGATGATCAAGAGGCCAGGAAACAGGTACGGATTAACTAGATGGATGCAAATTTCCCTGGAGAGTGATGCCGAATGACCCTGATTGCAATTTCTGCATGATGATGGTGCTGCTAGTGCGCTCAGTGCATCTGTATCACTCCTACCCAGTGCACCTTTCTCTCTGACCCCTTCAGTGGCATTCAATAATGCGTCTGGATCCTCACTGTTAAGATTCCAAACACACACTCGCTGCTAAACCAACTGCTGCAGGGGCATGGCTGATAGGGGTGTTTGCATTCAAGGCTTGTCTGAGCTGCTATTGATAGACTTTTATTAACTTAACCAGGTTCAAGATTTCCCTGGTTCCTCAGTTATTAGGGGATAAACCTTCTCACCTCGAGAGCACAGAGGATTTGGCTGGATTTGGATAATTGGTGCGGTATCTCTGCTGCCTTTAAAACAAAAAAGAAAGAGGAGAACTTTAACACTCTAACTCCTACTGTATTTTTCCATACACAGAAAGAGAGAGAGACATACTGTATATGAACATCTAACAGAGACGTTTAAAATCCATTAATGGATCAGACATGACAAGACAGTGTGACTCTGTGTACAAGCGTTGCTTTTCTTAGTCATACCATCCATGAAACATTAGCAATTGGCCCATAAAAAAATCCATCATAACCTCAAGGCACATTACAGAGAAGGTTAAGCACAAACAACAGAAATATTAATAATATGCAGCTCGATTTCTCAGTTTAAAAGTTCAGCAGAGATAAACATTTGCAAAGGAAAAAAACCCCAGTAATTAAAGCATATACTTTGGTAATTAAAATATCCCCTCGATCACACTGCAGGGATTATTTTTTCAGCCAGCTTGAATAAGATAAAAAGCTGTTGAAAAGAAAAAGTTGTGGATTTTTTACAAGCTAATTAACATTTTGTGTCCCCCAAGTTCAAGATGACACTTTTGCAAGCTGTATTGTGTTGCATAATCACACTGCTGTCCCTCTACACTCATCATTTTGTGACACAGATCAGTACAGCTCAAAGCAGGATTGATGTGAGCTTGCTAACCAGAGTGGAAGTGTAAAGCAGAGACACTGTGATACTCTTCCAGTGTAGTGTTTGCCATGCTATTATTAAAGCCTGTAATCATGGGGATGTTGGTTGGTATATCCAGTGGCATTTCAAGGTCAGTTTGGGTTTATTACTTGACAGTACTGTGACCTATATGAGATTTATAACATGTAGGTTTTTCATTTAATCAAATCTCATATTTATATGTAAATGACATTCATTTTTGGATGTCATTTTATCACCAGAAGCCATTCTGTCATTTCCTGCTGTAATTGCCTCAGTTTTCTATGCTCTTTGGGTTTCAGATTTGTTACCCCATGCACAAGGGAATGACAGGAAATGATGGACATGAATTTTGGACGTGATGAGGAAGACAAAAGCTGGTGTCAGGAAACCGTCTGCTTTCTTAAAATAATGAAGCGCAGCCTGCAACTTTTATGAGGGCTCCTTTTGATACACAACTTTAGATGCATTCCTGACAGAGTAACCACTCAACATGTGTTTGCTGCTCTGTTGATGGATGTTTCATTTCTAAATGTACTGCTGGAGAATGAAACAGGATTTCTATTACAACATTTCAGCACAGCTGCCATTAGGTCAACTAGGACAGAAATCATAATGTCGTGTTCACACCAAACACTCAGGAAATCATTAACTCACTTAATCTGCGGTGTTCGTGCCACCTCAATCATTGGTGTCGCCCGACAAGAGCTTGTTACATTTAATCCACTCATGTCAATGATTTTGTTCACATTTTGGTGTGAACACAACATAATATAGAGAGCATAATAATTTAATCTGTTTGAACACCTGAATGTTGTGTTTACTCGCTTAATTCATGCTAATGACTCGCTCCATGCAGGAGTTATTCCAAAAGATGAGGGGTCGTCCGTGTCATCAGTTCCGTTTACGTCAAACATAGTTGAAGTTGACCACAATGTGACAATCTGTCGTGTTTAAACAGCTCATCAGATAATTCACTCGCTGTACTCCAAGACAGCTCTTGTGTAGTCCTGTCACAATATTAATACAAGTTGTTTCCTGTAGCTTGAGCAGCTACGTACCGTCATGATCAGTTTACCCTCCATTTTCTGGATGAATAAACCCGCCAGTCCTTTGTTAAATGGCGTACAACATTAGGGAATATCCTGATTGTCTGTTGCGGAACAAATGATTCACTCGAGTTCAGATTTTTTTAGTCTCACGAAAAGGCAAATGAAGCAAGTAGTACTCTGAAAATGTTGTGATTTCGCACCATGTCTAATCTGCTCAATTTGCGCTATTTGTGCCGCCTCATTCAGACGTTGAAGCATTTAATGGTTTGAGATTCTATTATTTGCATTTGGTGTGACGTTGAAGCTCTTCTCAGGAGTTAATGGTTTGCGTTGACTTTGGCACCCCCTGTGGACAAAGTGATTCAGGTAAAGAGTATTTCCTAATAAAAAATGAGACTCAAATGCTCATCGTGAACCTTTGCTTGGGAAAATGTTACAGTCTATTTCCTCGGGTCAGGTTTTAATGATCAAAAACTTAATAGATACAAATCCATTCGTGCTCAACAACAACTGATCTCACTTTTATACCTGCACATATTGTGTATCTACCCAGGATTTAACAAAATATGTTTGGTTCCTGTTGGTATGTGTATTTCTGTTATTGTAGAAAACACAGTACTGCAGCATATCAACCTCCTGACCAAGGACCTGCTGGTTCTTTAACATGAAAGACTTTTTTCTTTCACATCTTCAGAAATGAAATGATTCTGATATTCCATTCGATATAAACTAATTCAGACATACTTCTGCATGACATATTCAATTTCTTTGGAAAAATGCAGCTAAATTCTGCACTATGCAGCTTGAAAAGGAACCAGGAGGATGTTTTGTCGGAAAAACTATCTTTGGATGCAGGTGACAGGATCAGAAAAGTGATAAGATGCACATCTCTATCCACAGGGGGTGCTAAATTTGACACAAATTGAAAGTCGCTCATGCAAGTTTTACAAGCTGTAAAATGGTAATATCGGAATTTGGCAGCTGCTTTAAGCTTTATTTTAGGGCCCTAGTGATTTTCCACAGCTTAAGGCATTGCAAAAGCATTTGACAGCCGAGGTGTGAGCATCATGCACAACTACGCTGAGGCACACACTCACAAACACATCGTGTGGTTCCATCCTGCCATCTCTGACACTTACAGTGACTCTGTTCAGTTTCTTTTACACCTCTATTACTACCTCTGATGCCCACCTAGCGGCAGAATGATTTCACCCCACTATTCTACCATTTGCAAGTCAGCTTGGCATAACAGAGGTGTGACAGCTCCGTCTTGAGCAGACAACGTAAAGGGAGCAATAGACTGTGTCAGCCACTTGGCGCTGGGCAGGGAGCGCACAGCTGCCTGCTGGTGCTGATAACAAGGTTACAGAGTGATAACAGCTGAGGCTTAACCAAAACAAATGCTTCAAAGACATTGAAAGCTTCACAGAGTCAGGGAGGAGTGGCAGATGATAACTATTTGTTGACTTGTAGATATTCAGCCTGCATTACAGTAACAATGTTTTGATGTGACATTGTGGAGGAAATGAACAGGATGTAATGAGTTTCTTTAAAAAGCTCCAGAGGGATATGGGGATGATTTTATTCCTCACATGGATATTAAATGAGTTGTTAAATTATCCGTCTATTATTAGGACTATGAACAGCTGCGTCACTTCTGTGAAACTTCTCTCTGACTCACATGAGTGTTTAGGTCGCTTACTTGGCAGGATGAGTGGAGATGAGAAACCACTGCATCTCATAGACCAGGGTTTTCCTTGTATTCATGGATCAGTGGCTTATTTGGCCGCATTCAGCACAAGCTCAGTGCACTAAAAGCATAAATCAAAGGAGCCCTCTGAGTGACTTTTTATGTCTTTATCTATGATGGACCTTGAAGTATATTCAGAACTAAATAAAGATGTATCCTGGCCAGATCTGATCATAAATGTGTAAGTGCCGACTCTTCCATAGATTATGGTGCTGCAGCATCATTTAGATCTCCCGGCCATGTTTTAATGAGTTTTATTAGCTCTACAGTTTAGGACAGAAATCTTTCAGCCGCTTAGGGAACTTCTTACTTTGTTATCTAACCCGTCTCCATCCATGAATTCCTGAAATGCTGCAACTTCTTTGTCCTCAAACTAAAATGAGATTCCCACAGGAGGAAATGAAACACTGTGCAGCTCTCCTCTTCATGCTTATGTTTATCCTGCTCTTCTTTCCTCTCTTTCCGTCTCCCACACTGAGAGCCCATCAAGAAAACAGACATGTAGCCTCCAGGTTGGTATCAATATATGACTATATTTAATGTTGGCAGTTAGAAATGCCTCACAATGGGCAGATTTAGGACATGCGGTCCTTCTCGTTGACAAACATATTGTGTTTTTTTAATGGGGGAGTGTTAATTCTGAATGCAATCATAAATAGAAGTGGAATTGTTTCAGAGTGGTGATGCAGCAGTTGCAACATTAGGAGTGGGAACTTAAATCCAGATGATAAAGTAAAAGCCTATATGATGTAAAAACAAATATTTCATATTTAATATAATCCACTTCAGATTGTCAGTCTTAGCTTTAGGCTCATGCAAGATAAAATTCCAATTTGTAAGAATGCCGGAGCAGATCTGTGCTCAGGATGTGACTTATTCATTTAAAAAGTCAGTTAAATTTTAATGGTGATGCACAGCTAACCCCTGAGCATGACTTGAACCCGTACACATCGATGGAACCTATCTCCTACTTAATGGGAATCTATATTTTAGTCTGTAATTAGACCCTCGAAAGCCTCGCGTGTGTTAGTGATTACGCAATGATTAATTCCATTATCTCCAACACACACGCGCCACTTATTGAGATGTGTAGGAGGGTAAATCGAGGGAGAGACGCACCAAGATAGTCCACAAGTGAAGGAAAAATGACACTCTATCAAGTGCTGTGTGTAAATGAATTCTGTCCTTACAACATTATGTCATCAGGAGGCATGCTGTGAAAGACACTGGAAGAAGGAGCAGGCGAAATTTAAAATCTTTCCAATGTTCTGACTTCCTTTTATAAATAATGGATGGATCTTACAGTACATTCACATTGCTCTGACATTGCAAAACATTGTGCTCTGCTGCACATTATTGTCGAACATTTCCATTTCATGACCGTGGTGAGAGGGAGGAGAGAGGGAAATGGAAATACTGGCTGTGTTGTAGCATCTCTGTAGTTCACTTCCAGAGTCGATTCAAACAGGAGTACCATGCTGTCCTGAGTCATACTCACCTCATGACAAATAATGACTAATAGCCATTCTGATAGGAGTGGTGTTCAAGGGGGACATTTTTCTGTGCTGCAGAAGGTGGCAAAGTGCTGCTATCACGCTGAAAGGAGCATTTAAGATGGGTGCTTCGATTTCAAAAGGGCAAAGAGGACAGTAAATAAGAGCGTCTACCCGAAAGGAGAGAACAAATGTCAGGGCATGATAACAAAAACACAGTTAGGAAGCTTCACATTTAAAACAGACACTAGAAAAGAGGAGCTATTTTAAACTTCTTGGAAATGTCAAACCTTTTGGAGGTTGCGGCTCCGACTGGCTTGTGTTATACGTGCATTTTCTGTTACATTTCCAGGAATGACATTAACAAAAATCAATGATGCTCTATGGGACTAAAAGGCACATTACTGTCTTTTATTCCTGTTCGGCTTATGCACCATTTTAAGCCAAAACATGTTTCCACAGCTGTCAAAACCACATATTTAATGTATCTGACTGTATGGAAACGGCATATAGGGGTGACCTCATTTTCAAGGACTGATGCATTATGGGACCCTGCGATCAGGAGTGGTTCTTAATAATTTCTGCCTCTGTGGCTTAATGCTTATCAACATATCCTGCCGCTGATTAGGCCTCATTCCTGCTTTAATCCGGACAACTTAATTATACAGGAGATGTCAGACTAACCGGAGACACTCTTATTCTGAGTGTGGCAAATCCAGGAGTGAATATTTCATGTAGCCAGCTTCCTGTGCCATAGACATTCAGTCTCCTGGGGGGGCCAGAAGGACGTACAAGCAGAATATGAGTCATACATACATGCATGAAACCCTGTGTTTACATATGGCCTGACCCAAATCATGATAAACAAGGTTGTTTTTTCAATAAAATGCAAACAAATTAAAGCATTTATTTACAAATTTCTTTAGTATATTTAGATGCTGTATTGTGTTTGTAGTATCTGTATATAACAAAGAGTCCATAAACAGAACCTGCTGTGGTCGTCTGCAATCATCACAGCAGGTGTTGTTGCTCCACCACCAGAACCCGCCTGATTAATGTACTTAATACCATCCTGTCCCGATAATAAAAATTGTAGCTAGAGACCACAGAAGAAGAGGTCTAAGTTGCCATAGCAACCAACCTTTTTCCCTGCTTGACTGTTTTCCTGTGAGTGGATGTTGCTTTGATCTGCTAGCCACTGGCTAGGTGAGGAGTTTAACTGTGTTGTAACTAACGTGGGGGACTCTCCCTGTGGGGGAAAAAGAAACCCATCAAGATTGCAATCAACACTCGGATTATAGCAGAGGAAACGTGGCGTAATCTGGTGGTATGAGTTTTATAATCTTGCAGGAATCGATCGTAAGCTTTTAAAGGTTCGGTGTATTTCACTGCATGACTTTTTAAAGGACACGGATTTACAAGGACAGCTTTGGTCTGCTTTCTAAAGTGTGTTTATGTTGTTTCTACTTTTGGCAGGATTGCTTGCCCAGACTAAGGTTAAGGTGTTGGATTCTCAGTTTCTGAATTAAAAAATACTATAAATATGCATGTAAACCTCCCATAAAGCCAGGTATTTTTAAATATGCAGCGTATGCAATGAATTATTGAAAAACATTGTGAAATCTAAAATAGTGGCTGTGAATAATTCATCTGACATTCTTTTGAGTTGCATATTGCAAACCACAGTGGAGACTGATGCATTATCAGACATTGTTTGGGAATTTGTAATAATTTGGGCATCATTGTAAATCATTGAATTTGTTTGCTGAGCAGAGTAGCTGTCAACTCCAAACTGCTGTGAGGACTCTCAGGGAGCTCAACTGCAGCAGGTGGCTCTGCTTGGTGGTGCTACAAAGTAGATGCAAATATCCTTCCTCATGCTTTCCACAAGGGTGATCACCAGGTTTACACCTCAGTGTGTCCACACAAGAATGCTGCATTTTGAAGAGGTCTCTGTGCCCGCGGTGATAAGCTCAGTGACAGTAAACAAAACACATCTGTGACCAGATTACCTCTGACTCATTACAGGGAATATTTTCTTTTTTTCCTCTACAGAGACTAGTACATCAATAGTGTTTCAACTAGCACACGTGTGAAGGACTTTTTCTCCGTCTTCTTTATTCTGTATATTAGGTTAAGTGCTCTGTACGGAGATTGTCATGCCTGCAGTCACCTAAATTATAATAGCTGATGCTGCAGTCGCACATACAGCTGTGTTCAGGGTTCATCAGGGATTGGCAGTGTTCTCTTTAGATGTGAACTGAAGCATTTTAGTGCTAACCTCAGCTATATGACACTTTTGTGTTTAGTAAAAGCGCGACCCGTTTTCTGCTTATTCTTCTGTTTGAACCTTGATTTATGCCAGCATGTCATGCATTAATGTTTTTTTAAACATACATAGACGAATGGAGTTAGTTTCACAGTATTTGCACTCTTGTGCACTTTCTAGGCATTGGCACTATTTTTTTCAGGATTTTATATGACAAGGGTGATCCAACTGGAGCAATAACTCATGTGGAGATGGCATGTAGAAAACTACTTCAGCCAAATACAATAAAATCACATAGAAAGTCATAAAAGTGTGTCCCCGAAGTCATAATTTTAAGTACTTGAAGAGTTACAAGTGTAGAAATGCAATAACAATTTTAGATGGACTGATTTCTCCCCTTTGCAGCTGTCTTTTTAAATAAATCTGATATATAGTGTGAGGTATTTTTCTTTGACTTAAAACATCCAAAAAGTGATATGTTTACAGTACGTGCAAACAAAGCACTGAGCAGCCAGTTTAAACATTGTCAAAATAGCTGATTTTAGCATACTGTACTTCATATATTTGTTAAGTTATTTCAATAGGATGATGCACATTAAACAATATTTAAGCAGTAATAGTCTGTCAGTCACTTTGTGCAGCATCTCTGCGCTACAACTCTGTAACAGAATTACCTAGCTCTGAATTGCACACTATATATGTTTTTTGCATCACATTTCATATACAGTTTACATCAATGCAATGATGCAGATTGCACTCACCAGCTACATGTGTGTGTATATATACAGTATATACGTATGTACATATATTCTCTTGTATTGTTTTGCCATATGTGCTGTAGAGGAACGTTCCTTGTGATTTCCGTGTGTTTGGCCCATATGGCAGAAATTGACTATAAAAAGCTTGACTTGACCTGACTATGTAAATATGCAGCAATTGGCACAATAGCTACAATTCATCCATCAACTGTAATTTAGGACACTAGGTTGGCACCTGGGATATGTAGCAGTGAAAGTTACAGTTAGAAAGCCCTGCACACCAGTTAGACTGTTTGTCTTACACCTGGGTGTAGGACAAACAGGCTCAGCAGACTAGCCTGCCCGTAGATAAACAGTAAAAGTGACAGAATTACAAAAGCCAATGGCAGGACAATAAAGTTCTTATCCTCATTATCTAGTCAGAGAAAGTGCATTGAGTTGATAGAGAGTGATGTGTTATTGGACACCACTCAGAGAGCTTTATTTTAAAGTCTTGCTAACCCTGTTTTGAATTAATAAGAGTCTGAACTACAGTGTGTGTGGGATAGAGATGGAGGGCTGTCCCGGCCCTGCAGGTGCTGATCATTTCAGGTTCAGTGTAAATGAGGCTGTCAGCTCTGAGCTGTCAATGCCATTTAGTGTGAAAGTGGGGACATTCTTCCCTAAAGTGAGTATGCTGCTCTTATGACGGTTTTGGTCACAGACCTCCCTTATTCCCCCAGTGAAAGCCTCTGTTTGTTATACAGTATATTTGCACACAGTTTTATAAGTTTTGGTATTTTGCTGTCAGACTTTCTTCTTTTGGGTTTTGTTATCCCACCCTCTGCCGACATTTTATTGGAGAACAGCATGGACAGAATTGAGTGTCAACACTCACGACCCTGTGAATGTCTATGTGAATGTGTACGATAAGCTAGAATCAGTCCCAGTCAGGTTTAGTGGACTCAGTATGACTCAAAAAGTTGGTCATAGATAAGTCTAATAAAAAATACAACTGACTTAAGTGAGGTGTACACAACTAGAAAATCATGCTGACTTTGGGTCGATCTCCCCTTTCGATGTCAGCAAAGGCCTGATCATTAGTGGGTTCTAAAGATTACCTTCTCAGATTGTCCTGAGGTGTGTGAAGAGTGATTTTCCTTCCTTTTGATGAAATGGTCTGTGCAAAAGGTGATCGGAGATCCTCTGACTTGGAACTGTAAATATTAATTTTGTTCAATATTTACGACCCATAATCTTAATGTGTTGGGGGATCCCCAAGGACGATCAATCATGCATGCCATCCATTATCATGTGAACAACTGGATAGCCAATCGGGGAGCAAGCTGACCAAAGAAGGAAATGGCAGCATGGCAATGACAGTAAACGTAAAGCATAAACTGAGACATGAGTGTTTACACAGCACTGTGGTAAAACACTGCAACTGAAATTAACAAATTGAAGAGACACCTCAGTGGGTTTAGAAACAAAACAATGAAATCTGTCATCATTTGTTGTCATGTGTGGGGTCCCTGATGGTTTTAACATCAGTTCAGAGTCTGAAAATCTTTCTGTGTGTGCCAGACTTTACATCCAGCTGGTGCACTCGACCCCTAAGATGGCCAATCGAATGTCAAGAGTGGCCTTTGGCACTCCTTGCCACCCCATGAAGCCACCCCTGACTCTGTGACCCTGTAAGCAGGAACACTGTTAAGCGTAACGCTCGCACGGCAACAAACTAGCTTGTTGATATTCAGTATGCAGGCTACAATGTTTTTCCATCTTAGCTGAACCGTTTGACATACTAACATTTGCTGTTCCACAAAATGATTACACTCTTGTAGGGGATATGAATGTCTTCACCATTTTTTTGCAGTCCATCCAAACAGATTTTGACACTTGTCACTCAGAACCACAAAATGTCAACTTCATGTGGGCACTTTAGGAGAAGACAGGTCAACAAAATCATTCACTCTCACACTTTAGGAACCACAAAGTTGCTCCCGGTGGCACACAAGGGAAAATCAGGGGGTTAGAAAAGTCATAAAGGACTTGGTAACACATTTGATCACAAACAAGAAGTTATTAAAACAAACTGGTTATAGGTAGACAAATAACAGCATCCTTAGAACCAGAAATTGAGCTCAAACACAATTGTGCTCTGCCAAAGCCTAAAATACTACTGGGATACTGGGATACTGGGATAAACTGACTGTGTGCTAACACTAATACATCCATTAAGTAGAAAAATATTAAAAATCCAAACACTTTTACAGTCATCAGTCTCATTTTAAAAGGATGTGATATTTAATATTTAATGTCTACTGGTCTGAGACATCAAAACTAAGTGATTCAGACATTAACTTTTAGTTTTTCCCAGCTGTCTCATATTTAATGTCAAATATACAGTCTGTGTAAATAGATTTTACAACCTCATACACTTAAAAAACTCTTGGGTTATTTCTTCAACTCAATTCCTGGGTTATATGTGTTGAGTTAAATTTCTGGGTTATTTTTCAGATCCATATCCATTTCTTGGGTCATAGGGATTCTATTGTAACCCAATTTAAGGGTTTTATAAAAGGGCTAATAATTATGGGTTATTTTTCTGAGAGTAACCCAATAATTGGGTCAGAACATTGGGTTCGATTGACTCTACGTGGTTTCTCGGCCTAATAGCAATTAAAGTGACCTGGTGACCTTGTGAACTTTGACCTTTATTTTATATACAATATGATATATATATGTTAAAACAATATGATATATATATGTTTATACATATGTTTATATATATATACACACACACACACACACACACACACACACACACACACACACACACACACACACACACACATATATATATATATATATATATCAGTGGCGGCTGCTGGTCTTTCAATGAGGGGAAGCTCATTTTTCTGGCCTACATCATAATTGTATTTGTTTATTAGTATGTAACAGAACAGAGTCGCCAAACACAACGGCAGTCGTTTTTAATAAAGACAGAAGTCGCTGAGGATTGGTAAAGTCTCCGGAGCAGTTAAGAACAACGGAATGAATGACTTGGAAAATGCTCTGGTAGATGTTTTATTCTTCAAGATCGCTGATTCGCTTGTTTAGCTGTCAATCAAAAAAGGATTTCGCCTCAGACAGCTCATCCAATCATTGATGCAGAAGCTTGCAGTCCGGGAGAAAGTCGGGACCGCCCTCTCGCCATAGAACTCCAGTGAAGCTTAGCTTCCATTGGGCGGGACAAAGCCCAGCATTTATCCAATGAGCGTCTAGTTTCGCTGCTGGAACAACCCACTTTTAGCTTCCACATTGAAGTCAGCAGAAGCCCAGCGTCCGGCTGTTTAAAGCGCTGAGGCGCTGCGAGGATGAATGAGAACGAAGTTATGCCGGTTACCTATAATTATCAGCTTCTTATCACAGTGTCTGAACAAAAGATGAAGGCTTTCTAGTGCGTATTTAGTTAATGAAATGTACACACAGCAGTACGTATTTCACCACTTTTTCTTTTTTTTGGGGGGTGACATTTTAAGGGAAGCCGAGCTTCCCTTGCAGTCTTAGAGCAATCGCCACTGATATATATATATATATATATATATATATATATATATATATATATATATATACACATATGTGTATATATATTATATATATATATATATATATATATATATATATATATATTTATACATACATACATACATACATACATACCAGTGTGGGTCCTCAGGCAAGACCCTTAGCGCTATGGCCTGAGGGATATATGGTTGCAGTCAGTACACCGAAACAGCTAGGGTACAACCTGTACCCTATTTTCCCATGCACTTTAATCTAACTGATTCCCTCTTATCAGTTAGATAAAAGTAAATGAGAAAATAGGGTACAGGTTGTAAAAGAAAAGCTCCCCAAATGCATATATCAATTTATCCCAAGATCATGAGTCAATTTGACTCGAAGATTGGATTAACTTGACCCTTAAAAAGAGTTATTGAGTCAACCCAAAATTTAGTTTAATTTGAATAACCCAACATTCTGGGTCAAAATAACCCAATAAGTTGTCGGTCCCTTTTCAACCCTGGTGTTGGGTTAAAAACAACCCAAGTTGGGTTGTTTTTAACCCAGGGGTCTTAAGAGTGTAGCAGTTGTAAGAACTACATAAAGTTAAAGCTAAAATGGAGAGACATTCAAAACAGGCCTTTGTTGCTCTTTTGTGAACATTTTCTTATCTTGTTACTTCATCTTTTTGGTTATTCTAAAGGCATACATTTTTGTTTGTACAAAAATCAACAATCCTTGTCAAAACTGCCGAAGTCTTTTAGTGGTTGGCTGGATAAATCTGACACTTCTTTTGGGAAATCTGGGAAATGTTGGCAGTCAACCAACAATAGCCTGTCAATTATCCAGTCAAGAGTGAACAAGTGAAGTGGTGTCTTACATAAATCGCTGTGAGCTTCATCAGCATTATGAGAGCTGACACACACTGGCGGCTCTTCTTAGTCTTTTGCCTTGTTAGGAGTTGTGTAGCAGCACGATACTTAACACAAGGGGGGAACTTAAAAGAACTGTTTTGATGCAGTTGCCACCAGCGTGCAGTACACAGCCTTCAGCAAATAATGCTTCCCACTGTACTTAATGAGGAAATACATGAATGGTCAAATGTAGTTAATGCTGAGGCATTGAGATACCACTCTTTGAAGTGCAGCTTTTTGAATATTAATGATATTCATGACCTATTTGCTACTTCACTTTATGTAAATTCCTGATGGCCTTGCTGCCCTTATGCTTTCATGGAGGATGTGATGATGCTGTTGGCACAAAAACAATTTAATTAATGTGGGAGTGTATGCGTAAACTTCTTAAGAAGAACCAAAGATTTTGGCTTTAATGCTGTATCTGCGGTTTTCTTCTGGATGTTTGAACAATTTTGTAAATTAGAATCAAAGTCAGGATCTCATTATATTTAAACAAATGAAACCGCGGGTGAAGACATTTGTTTGACAGCTTGTATATGGCAGCCCTCCCCTGGGTTCAAAAGATGCTTACCCAACACCCCCACCTTGCCATCTGTCTGGATCTGTAAATCCCACATGGATACTCAAAACAGACAGAAACACAGAAAAGTGCTTTCAGGAACCACAGCACCCGCTCAGCCTGTCATGACAGCTAAGTATGACATAAGAGTTTCACTATGTCTTGAACTATAGACCGTAAAAAGTTATACTCAAGTTGAAGTGTGATAGTGTCTGTGTTTCCACAAGCCTAACCAAAGGGAAAGTTTTTCTTTTTGGGTTTAGCTACAGAAATAGCTGATTCTGAGTATTCTGACGCGTGCTGAAAGAGGAAGTTAACTTGAGAAATACTTAACTCCAGGTTGAGCTGTAGTGCTCTTGCAAAAAGTGCCTCCTTGAATATTTGCTGGTAATGCAACTTTGTCAAGTTAGTTACTTAGCAACTGCCACTTGGCTTAAGTCCCTTTACGGTTCATATCAGCCAGCCATCACTATAGTTGTGCAGACTGAAAAAAAGTTTCCCTGGTTTATAGTTCCCAGGGAGCTCCCTAGTGGACAGTCACTCTTCAGAAAGTCCCCAGATCTGTGTGGGCAAAAACTGTGGGCTGTGAAGCCAGCCGACCACATCCATGGTTGCTGACATATTGAACTTGTAGCCGAGACATGCACAGGAGCAAACTCACATCACACCCTCTCTGCTAACTAAAACACACATTAAACTTATGACCAATTGAATGATTATTATGTTAGTTTTTATTCCTCTCTTCTGATCCCTTATTTGCAGAGCTGTCAATCTGTCATCTTTTTAAAGTAAACTTCTCAGAAAAATTTATACTTGGCCACAAATTAGCATAGCAACTAGCTACATCGACAAGCACTCTTATTCAAATTTTATTTTTTGAATTTTATTTATTTATTCATTCTTTAGCTTGTATATCATGTTTGTTAAGTGAACTAGTGTGTTTGGTATTTATCTTTATCTTCGGGTGGCAGCTGTAGCCTTTATCATTTCAATATACCTGTATAAGGACAATAATCTAGTCAGCAGGGGGAGCTCTGAATATTGTGGTCTCACAGTCAGTTAAGACTTGTTGCGCCTTTTTTAAAATCCAAACTGTGATATATACCAAGCAGCCGCCTCTGGTGTTGCAAGCCAGTGTTGAAACCAAAAACTTGAGGTTCCTTTAGTGTTCACTAAAGGAAGACTGCCTGCATTAGCCAAGGAATTCCCACAAGGTTTTATTTTAACTGGCCGTTCTTATTACAAAACCCTACATGTCAACAACCTAGTTCAAACATGGTTAATTACATGCAGCTTTTAATTTGGACATTTTGTACAAGGGTGTTAAAGCTAAGAGTTATGCATACATTCATGTGATAAAGGGCCCTGACCAAGTTGGGAATTTTCCCCTGTGGGACTAATAAAGGAATATCTTGTCTTATCTTAACAGTCAGGTGAATGCACTGCAGCCATCCACTAGGAGGCTAAGAGCCTGCCACACTTTCTGCTGTTTTACAGGTTGTTCAGAAGTTAGGCTGAGTCAGAGTTTACAAGATGTTGCCTGCCAATGTTGGGCTTCAAAATACCTCTACTTATTTGTTCACTTTCTTGTTTTCCAAAGAGTGAAATAAATGACAATACTGTATTTCAAATATACTTAACAAATAAGCTTGAGCCCAAATTGTTTGTAACGCCACTTAGTTCCAAAAACTACATGGCAGGCTAAATTATTTTGTCCACCTTTTCAATGAAAAATGTCCTGCCAACATTAATAATAAGCTTTTTAGTTAAAAAACATTTAATTGAAAAAAAGGGGATAACAAACCAAATATTAAAACTGAAATGTTTTATTTCTTAACAGTTAACATATTCTTGTTTTTAATGTTGATGCCAACAACACGTTTTTTAGACAGATGGCATGTCTTGTGTTGCATCTCCTCTTCTTTTGACAACAATCTACAAAGATTTGAGGACATTATGGTATCATCAGGGATGCTGGCTTTTCAACTAGGCACTGAGCCAAGAGGATATGACATCCATAATTTCCAAAGAGAATGTCAAATTTAGATTTTTCACACAACAGGACAGTTTTTTCCGCTTCACATCAGCCCCTCTCTTTAATGGACTTGTGCACAGAGAAGTCACCTGTGTTTCTGGATCCTGTTTATGTATGGTTTCTTCTTTGCATGGTTTAGTTTAACCTGAGTGCAAACTCTATTAACAGACAATGATTGTTGAACGTGGTTTTAATGCAGTAATTTCCACTACAGAGAAATTGTCAGTTATTGGCCTTTTCCTTTTTATAGATATTTCTCCAGATTCCTTAAGTCTCTCAATGATAATTCTGTACTTTTGGTCACAGGATCCTTAATTTTTTTGCACTTTTATTCCAACAAACTTCTTTCTAGAATCGCTAAACTTCCGTATTACTTACCGGGTCTCTCACAAAGTGCTAAACCTCTTCCCATCTCTTCTCTTGAGAGATTCTGCCTCTCCGAAGTGTCCTATTTTCCCCCCTAGTCATGTCACAGACCATTACAAATTAATGTTTTTAGTTGGGAGATGTTCCTCCGGGATTCTTTTTAACTTAACACAACTTTTTCAGTGTTTTGTTGTCCCTTTTTTCGACTGATTTGAAGTGTGCGGCTTGCATCAAATATAAAATAAGCATACATTTTTCATAAAAGTTTTAAGCTTCAGCATTTGATTTGTTATCTCTGCGCTGTTTTTAATTAAACTGGGCTTGAAAAGACTTGCAAACCATCAAATTGTGTTTTCAACATAATTCTACACAGTGTCTCTTTTTGGAGTTTAGATTGAACACCCAATCATATAAGAGTCGGCTGAAGGTCACTTCCTATAAGCTTGTGTGAGTGACTGTGACCCTTTATCAGTTGTGTTCAAAATACTTGTTTATAATGAAATTAAAGTCCCAATTTCAATTGAACGCATGGACACTCCAATATCAAGTTTCCTGTTTCCAACTAAATTTGCCAGCCATTAATGTTAAATTTATGTAAACTGCCTGTGCTGCTATCAGAGTTCATCTCTTTGGACCAAGACACTCCTATTATACTCCTTTATACTGTTTTTTTGTGCTGTTCTACTGTTTATCAGAGCACATGAAAGGCTTCTTGACTGATTGAATTTCCTGTTTGAAATAGTTAATTATGACTTGGCTATTCAGCTGTTATCTGGAGTTCATCTTTTCTGACCTAGAAACTATTATGTCCTTGATATTGGTAGCCGATGGAAAAACATGAGGAGGATGAAAAAAAAAGGAGAAAAAAAGCAGAAGAATCACTTGGAGTTGTTTACAGTTTTGTGAGAAAGAGCTAAAGTAAACAATAATGTAAGGTGACAGTAGCCCATGTCTGGTGTGTTATGTTTGCACTTTTTAAAACCAAGTCCTGTGCCACGAAGATACCACACCGGAGGCTAAAAGGATGCGTGGTCGTGATGACAAGGGTCACGGTAGGTCTGCCTGTCACCTCAAGTGTTTATTCTGCTGCTGTCCTTGAGCAAGGTAGCGCAACCTTTATCGGCTCAGAAGGTGTCGCATCATTAAACTGACACTGTGCCAGGGCGAGAAAAGTATCCTTGCACTTCTTAAAACAGGTGAACTTGTAAAGGGCTTTTGCTCCTGTTGTCTGCATGTGGTTTTATTTAACCATAGTATGATAGGAATAGGAGAATAAGGCATTGTACACTTCCCCTCAGAAACCAGAAATTAACAAAAAGATTATAAATGGTCGAATTTTCTGAAGAAACAAATACTTTCTCATTCTCGTACGCTGAGACATCATCATTCAAAGTGAGATTTATCAATCAGTTTGTGACATCAAATGCTTTGGGCCCAAAAATGTAGGGTATGAATTGAATAGCAGCCTAACAGAGGAAGTGTAGGAGTGAAGTCATGTCACATGAGTCACTTGAACTAAAAAAGTGACATTTCTACTGTCACTTTTGAAGAAATACTCATGAAATTATTATCGTCAGTCTCTCCGGCGACAGAGGGGTTCGGTCAGAGTAACTACTACACGTCAGAATGAACAAACATTCGAACAAAGGCGTGTAGTGAGCTGCCTTCCTCTAGCTGTCGGTTCGGCTTTATGAAATGGTCAGGATGGAGAAGGAAGGGAATGTGCGCCTGTGCTGCAGTTGCTGCATTTAAATTCAGTACTGCCAAAGTACACGGACAATCTGTACGAGTCCACTCACACATCATAGCACTCGAATCAAAGGCTTCGCTGGCAAGGCAGAATTACCTCCATGTGTCAAAGAATCATGCTACCAGAAAGGATTTAGGAAAAGGTACAATCTAAAATTGTTGTAGCTTCAATTTTTTCCCTGTTGACTGCATCACTCGACTCAAAACTTAAACGTACATTTTTCTGGTTAGGAGAAACTGCTGCCTAAGAAAACCATGTCCTTTTTCACTGTGTCGAGTCTCAAGTGTAGCAGTATTGTTCAGGAAGGACAGCTTCATCACTGGAGAAGGAAGTGAGAGAGGAAGATGCAAAAAGGGCCCTTTCAGGTCACATCTATTTCAAATCAGGAGGAGACACTGCTGCAGTGAATCATGCTGGTGGGCTCGGAAAAAAAAACAAAAAAAACAACATGAGACAAAAAACAGGTTCAGGATGTGGATGTTGCACACATACTTTACACTATGCCCACAGATATGGTGTGTTGTATATCGAGGCCTGTTTGTTTTCAGTATATATTACAGGACTCGGAGCCTGGCAGCTTGTTGTAGAAACACTTTAGGCTAGAATACAGAGAAGGACGTGCCCTTGATGTGCAGAAGAGCCATGAGGAAAAGTGGCTGATAAAAAGAGCGCGGATAACGGTCAGGCGCAGAGGTTAATGCGAAATGAGCGAGTCAGGGCGGCAGAGAAGCTACACTGAACATCGGTGATTGAAGGAGGGAAAACATGATAGTCAGAGTGGATCATCTGAATTTGGGAAGTATTGTTAATTTTTATGTACAGTGGCAGGAAATCTCAGAGAATGATATTGTGCATGACAATGTAATACAGAGCATTCAAGAGCTGTGAAAGCCTCTTATAAACATCAATTCACTGTATTTTTAACACAACATTTATTTTTTTTTCGCCAAAGCTTTTCTTATTTCTGGATGTGAAATATCATTTTCATGTTTAGTGTAGAGAGAACTAAAATGGGAGGATGAAGAGGGATTTTGTCACTTTTTTTTTCAGGTTGGCAGACATAAGCCTGGATAAGCCCTCATAAATATTAGTCTGTCTCACACACTCTGTTTCCAGTTGTAGTAAATATACTGGCAAAGTTTAGCACATCACAAATCCAAATCCCCCTCTGCGGGTGTGTTAATGCTATTCTAGCCCAGTAGCATGTTGTTTCCCTTCAAATCAATCTCAGACAGAAAATGCTGTATCGCCCTAACACATATCACTGTCTGTGTGGAAACTGGATTCTGATTGGCTGCAGGGGTCAATTATTTCTTGCAAATTGAACATTAATGAAGTCGTCTCTGTAAGCTGTCTGTTCACTGATTTAAGATATTTGGCTGTTTACATACCAGCCTGTCCTCAGAATTACAAAGAAGAGCAGGAAGACTGTAAAACCCCAATTTATGCACCCTGTTAACAAGCTAACAACTAAGTGTTACTGTCTAGCTATCCTTTCACATCACATTTACTGTCTACTACATTTTTTTCATTTGTACAGTAACACTAAACTTAATTTTTTTAAGTTATATTTTTGCCTTTAAGAGAGTGAAAGTGAGGAAACTGAGTGAGTTGTCGGGTATCTTGTGAGTTGTTTAAACATAACACATCCTCACAAAGTGGTTGACCCTTAATATGTTTGATGTAAACAGACTGACATAACATAGCAAAGAAGCAATTACTTTTGTAGTTGGGCACTCCTACAAGCACAATACAATCACACAAATGAAGCAAGTTGTTGGTGCAAATTGTGTTTGGTATAAACGCACCATAACACTGCTGGCGTCTAACGCAGTATTTATTGTCATAACAAATCAAAAAATAAAAGCCATAAAAATAATTTTATTTCATTCATCTAAATTAAGACACTGTTATGAAGTGTTTTACATTGCCAATATGGACTTAAAGGGGAACTTCAGTGTTTTTTCATCTTGGCCCTACTTTCTCGTGTGTTTGCATGTGCTTGACAGATGGGGAGAACGATTTCTGAAACTGGTCCAGTATCGAGCGAGAGCAGAGCAGCCAGCAGCTGTGAAACGAGCCAAAACATAGTTGGACTGAGCGTTAATGCATCTTCAAGCTGCAGCCGGTCTGTGACTCTCCCGATGCCACTCACTTGTGTGTCCTCCTTTGTCTTCCTGCAACAAATTGAGATCTCGTGAGATGTCAGAACTCAGACTTTTCTCCACCAATGTAATGCGGTTGTGCACAGACTAGGACAAGTAGAAGGTAAGGGAAACTCTTGCAATAACAATCTTAGCCTGTGAGTGGTGAACTAAAGCAGTTGTAGTGGACGCAGTTTGACGATGCGCAGTTATACGGTCAAACTACGTTGTAGCTCGTTTTGTAGCTGCCGGCTGCTCTGCTTTCCCTCAACACCGGGCCAATTTCAGAAATTGCTCTCCCCATCAGTCAAGCATATACTACAACCACATGGGAAACTAGGGCCTAGGATGAAAAATACCAAAGTTCCCCTTTAATACGGTTTTAAAATTGAAAACATCAGAATTTTACTCATGAAACCAAAATATGGTTAATTTACAGTTTAGAAGTTTTAAATCAATTGCTTGACAGCTCATGATGGAACTTCATGACAGAATTTCCAAAACCTTGGTCTTGTCCATCAAAATGACTGACAGATAGTTAAATGCACACTCATGATGAGAGTAACTCTTTCTGCTATGATTTAAGCCCTAGGGCTTTACAGAGGAAAACTAAGTTTTAGCTTGTTAAAAAAAAAAAAAAAAAAAGCAGTTTGATTGGTCGAGGCACACCATGAGTGCTGAGATAGAGAAAAACATCATAAATGTATCATCATCCCCCTTTAGCCAGATATTCTGAATAGAATTAATTTGTGTTATTGGACAGTCTTTGCAGAGTTTAATCAATTACAGTACACTAAACACACTATTTGCAGACTCTTATTTTACTGGCTGCATGACGAATGGGGAAAAAAAGTAAGTAAATAGAAAATAAATTAAAGCTAGATGATTTTTTTTTTTTTTCTAAAATGGGCTATAAAAGCAACACAACAGTCCAGTTGGGGTTGTGTTATACTCAGAGTGACTGTATTTGATATATTTGTTTATTGTCATTGACCAAATGACAGCAGCAGTACATCAAGTTCTCTTGTGATAGTAGTGCAGTATTTTGATTCCAGCAGCACTGCTCAGTGTACTTCTTCCTGTAGTATCAATGGAAAAATGGCCTTCAAAGTGTCAATAATCACAGATTGAGGTCAAGACCATCTGATGTACTGAGAACAGACAACATGTCAGGCATCACACTGGAGACAGATAAATGATGGTTTGTGTTCCTGGATGTAATGCATCAATTATTACTGATCCCTTTACCTTGCTGGTGAGCTGTGTGAATGTTTCTGAATCAAAAATGTTGAAAGTCGAAAAGAGCGGATAAAGGTCTTGCTACACTGGGTGGTTGAAGTCTTGAGGCAGGCATGAAAACACTCTGAGTCAATAATTTATGCAGACACACACACACACATGCACGCATGCATGCGAGCACACACACAAAGCAGAAGAGAGGAAAACGGGGCATTGCCGTACGGGGGGAAACAGAAGACTGAAAAAGCTTGGGGGAAAGACACATGGAGTCTGAGACGAACAACTGGAAGCAATACACATGTCGACAGATGTGAGACTCTATTCTGCTCCGTGCTAATAAAAGAAAAGAGACACATATCAAGAAGGTTTGAGTCAGTGGCGTTTCTTATGCGTGCACTTGCCCCGTGTAAGCAGATAGTAAAGGTTTTCTCCTTTGGTGGATGCTAACAGTCATATGCTGTCTTCACACAGCCTGACACATCTCTTCAAGCTTACATAATGTAGATCTGCCCTAATTTCCTGCACCCCAGCAGAATTCAAGCATCTAAGCAACATAACACCATGACTCTGACAATCACATGACTCAAAGGTGATTAACAGTGGTTAGTTGCCTTATTGTCTGAGTGGGTATTTTTTATTAATAAGCTGGCACTTTTCAGACACAGATGCCCTGTGAGTCAGTCCTGACGCTGCAGTGCAGGAAGACGTATCCCATGCAAGGAGTTGGCCTTTTATACTATGTAGTTCTAACATAGGGGTCAATGAGCGAGTATAAACTAACCCCCTCTCTTTCTCAGTGTAGTGTCTCCTCTCTGGGATGTTTTCTGTGTCAGGTAATTAGACGTTTCCATGGATACTGGGCTTTCAGAAAGCTACCTCTGCAAAGAGTATAGTTCTTTTTTTGGGATAGGCATCAGCATGCAGATGTGCAAATAAGGATATTTTCAGATATCCTCCGTTCAGCATCATGTACATCCACCTTAATGCCAAACGAAGCTGAAGATCAAACACTGAGAGTTCAAACATGTAGAAGAAACCCAGATTTGGTTAAATACGTTCTGTTGTACTGCTCCAGGCCTGTTCTGGAACTGCTATTTGTGCAGCTGTTTGAAGACTTTGGGCATTGGATAATCGGCTCATTTGTTCAGAGAGAATTGATTGTTTAAGCTCTGAGTCAAAAATGTCTTTGGGTTATTCTGACTAAAACTTTAGCATCGTTAAACACCAACTACTCCGCCATGTTGATTATAAAACTCAGCCCCCTTTGTTATTTCCCATTTGCTTAATTGAAACCATGAAAACTGGTTTATCTGAACATTTGAATAGGATATTGTAATTTTTGTACTATTCTGGAAGTTGCCACAGGGGGTTTCTGCAACATTTAAAACTCTCTTTTCTCAGTGCACTCTGACATTTACAGCGGGCGCCATGTTTTAGAAGGAAGCACAAAAACAAGGTTCTACCAAATGAATGCATATCTTTTATTCATCAGCTAACAACTAAAGAAACAGCACATTGTTGATATATTTACCCCACATATTCCAAGTTGCACTGTGTTTTTCATCAGAAGAGACCAAGTATTTCACTGTGTTTTTGTAATAAGAGACCAGGTTTTTGCTTCTCAGAACTGATACAGGTTTGCATTGAAACACTGAAGTGTTCTATTTACAAATCAGAGTATGAAAATCAAAAGAAAGCAAACATGAGAATAAGACACTGACTGGACCTGTTCTTTGCACATACACACAGGACAGCTATATTTCAATTTCACATATTTTTGGATTATCAGTATTTGTATTCTCATATGTGACAGAAGTTCATTTTTGGTCATTGAATACAAAAAGCTCAAAGAGGACAACATTTTACAAATGTTTCTGTTATTTACAGTAAAAACTGCCCCAGTACACAGCCACCTTTGAAAAATTGGTAGAAAGACTCATCATAACACATACATGTGAAAACTGTTGTCTTTTCTCCCCCTGGGCAAACTCATACTCTCTAATTTGTTGAACTGGCTGTACAAAATTTACCACAGGTTCAGAAACAGCGTTTTAAATCGAGTACTGGAATAATTTACATATTTTTGTCCACTGTTCACTTGGAAAACATTTAGATGTGTCTGTTTGTACATGCTTAAAGAGTGTTTCCCCAGTTCACTTCACAGCAATATTCTGATTTCACACAAGGAAACTCGACATGTAACAAAGCAAACCCAGTGCTTCATAGTGTCTTTTCATTTGTTTTGTTGACTTCCCAAAGAGCGGTCATAGGTCAAGTGACAAAATAATCACAAAACGACTCTGAACATGTAGAAAACAACAAACCAGGCCTGCATTCTGGGTAAAAAGAATGACTAATACTGCAGTGTAATACATGATGACATGCAGACAGGATCCAGATGCACCATATCCTCTAATTAGCTGACTTAAGATGACAGGTTTAGTGCATAATACTGCGTATGATGTGAATTTACTCTGTGTGTTAAACTCTGAAGGACAGTCAGATCTCTGGGCTTACACTATTGACCCAGAAATTGTTCAGACGGCATTATGGCTGGATGATATGCTGGGATTATTCCAGAGCATAGGACTTTTTTTTATATGCATAAAGACCACTCTATTCATCCAGCTACTGCATTGATTCGTTGTGCTTTTTCATCTAACTGAAAACTCTTGAAGACCTTTGACACCTTTGTTGCATTTCCCCACCTCCCCAGACTAACAGAGAAAAGTGAGACTGCTAATTGCAGACAAGTTGTCAGATTTCATACATTTCATACCCACGCCAAACAGATGAAACAAACAAAAAACCAGCTAATGAGACAGTTTTTCACTCTTATGCAACAACAACTCTTCCTCCCTGTTTCTCATTCAAACACCTGATATTTTTCAACATATAAAATTTTAGAAAAACACAACAGATCTGAAATTAGGTATAAGTACCTCGCCATATTACACCTCAAATAAGCAGTATAGGTTTTGATCGCATCATTAATTAAAGTGTATATGAGCATTATGAAGAGTGGCTCAAGGGGATGAACTGTTGGCTTTTTTTAGAGATTGTCCATGTGTACACTTTATCTATGCATAGTGCAAGACTCTATAGCATGTGTAACTTTGATGTATGCAGTTATCAAACCTACTTTTTTATGGCTGTATGCCTGTGTTACCGTTTTGTGCATTTCAGAAAGTGACATCATTGTTGACCTGTGGAAGTCAATAGTGCATTTTCTTTGTTAAAGAAAAACTGAAAATAAGACATACTTGTATAAAAATAGTGATTTCAAATGTTCTATATGGAGAGATTTCAGCTGTATGTCAAACAGGAGTACATGGAGATATAATATAGACTCTTGATATATTGCACATCCACTCAAATGCATTGTAACTGGGACAATATTGGTGCATTTCCAACAAGCAGTCAGGTTTGGTTCAGTACAATTAGATACGTTGCTCAGTTTACACAGTCAGTTTTACCCTAGCACCTCACACAAGAGGCGTGTTGGCTGTCGATTGGTCTGTTGGCGTGAGTAGCATCTCAACCCATCTGTTAACTTAAGTCTGTCTAACAGGGTAAAAATATAGACTAGAGGGCTAACCTAATTTTACAATGAGCAGCACCAAAACATACAGAAAAAAAAGATGCTTTGAGGGCTGAAGCAGCTTTACATGAGCTGCATTTATGTCACTAGCCTTGGACTAAACCCTGGCTTGTTATAATACCCGAAAAGAAGCCCCGCTGTGTAGGCCTAGTTCCAGCCTAAAGGGTCAGATGGCTACTCTAACCCCTGACCAAAAGGTGTCAAAAAGTAGGACTGGCCAGATTGGTTATTTGGGAAACTATCCAAACTTTAAAAGTGGAAATGCAAATAAGTGTACCATGCAAAACCATTCAGGACTGGACTGCTTGTTGAAAATGCACCTTGAGTAAAGGTGATTGAAAACATATGATTAAAAGGATGTAAAGGTACAAAATAAGCACAGGATTGTGCTTCCGTGTGTTTCATCAGAGGGTCAAATTTTGCATATTTTTTATGACTTTTTTTTCTCAAGAGCTTTGGTTGTGGTGCAAAATATTACAGAAACTCACATTTCAACAACTTTCAACACATATACGTTCATAACTCAATGCCCAATTTGTGACAATTGACATAGACCTGCAGTTAAAGCTGACCCTGTTTTCAGTTACAATCCTTCTGAACACAGTGGGGGTAATAGTATTTCAGTCACATTTCTGAGTACAGTTTAAACATATAAATATTTAACTCAACAAAAGTGCAACACGTGTCCACAATCCACAAGTGCAGTGGTTTGGGAGTTGGGGAAGCTCTGCAGGTTCACCACCACCACTGCTGACTTGCACAGATTACAGCTTGAGCATTAGGTCAGTAAAGATGTGGGATACATGAATTATTCTCTCCCAAATCAGCCAACAAGAGGGCAGAGATTTACTGGCCACATAATCTGTGATTTAAGGTATTACATCTAAATTTATTTCATGACCTCATGCATTTCAAATGATCATCCCCAAGCTGTGCATTCTGGGAGATAAACTACCCCACTAAATCTGTCATTTTTCACTACAGCACATCTCAGAAACAGATGTGTGGGTCACATGACTTTCATTTTTTTTTACACCTCCACCCAGGTCCAACTTGCGGAATTAATTCAATTTAGTCTCATGTATGAGTTCCAGTTTGAATAAATCTAAAATGACAGAACTGGGAAGTGTAAGTTCAACTGTAACAAAAACCTGATTTATTTTGGGAATAGAACAGATATGCTGGCTTCATTAACACTCATGAACTGTGGATAATCGAAGGTGAATGCTCTGTCTCACATTATTGTCAATGAAGCAGCTTCAGGGCGTGTTTTATGGCGGGGTGAGTCATAAGAGCCCTGAATCTCCGGTTGCTCGCTCATATTTACAGATTTAAAACACACTGTGTAACACCACAGGGATCAAAGGTTAAGTGATTCCCCGATGAGTAGTGTTCCCTTTTAATATTTTAACCCCATATGGCATGATTCTGAGAAATGCATACAGTAGCTTTCAGTGTCTGTGTAAGCATGGTCTGTTTCCTGACTAATATGGACACTTTGCATCAGTGCATCCATGCGGACTGTCCCGGGGCTGAGTCTTTCAAAACTGTGTAAAAGTTGTCCGTTTTTCAAGAACCTCAAGATAATCCGGATCAATATGAAGCTTTGCTTTCAGTTCCCAGTATTCGCTCCGGTTGGGCTCCACATATACAGTACTTGGTGCTGTACAGTAGAGTATTGTCTGTTGCACTCTGTCTGGGGGCACATACTGATGCCTCGTATCAAAGTCTGAGGTATACTGATTTGACGTGTGTGCTGAATGCTTGCATGGTAATGTATTGCTGTAGCGTGTGTGCTTGTCAGGCTCTAGTACATCTCTGTAGTAACACAGATCATCTTGGTGGGGGGTAGAGGGCTTATTAAGAGGCTCTGGAGTCGCAGCACTGTATTCTGAGCTTATCACATTACTGGCTGCCTCTTCATCCGAGTTCCCCAGAAAAGGACCACTCAACTCGTCAAAGTCTCTGAGTCCGTCCACTGACTTGCTGCTTGTAGGGGTGTGGGCAGTAGTTCTACATGTGGACTCGGTGGGAGGTGGGATGTACTCATATACATGCCCCGCAGATGTCCTGACTTTGGGAATGGCTCCTTTTTTGTACAGACCATACTCCATGTTAAGGGAGCTGATGCAAGCATTCATCGAGTTATTCTGCTTGTTTTGACTCTTTTGGCGTCTCTTTTTCATTGCCACGAACATTCCTGCAGCCACAAACACGGACACAATGAACATGAGGAGAAGGGCAAGAATCATCACAGACAAAGGGATCGCACTGAATTGTGTGTCCGAGTCCAAGGATGTTTCTATGGTGATAGTGCTGCCAGGAAAAGATTCTTCTGAGGGTGGGATCATAGAAGCAAGTACATCAGAGTTATTAGGGCAGAAATTAGCCGTCTTGATGTATCTCATATCCTCCCCAGCGAGCTTCTTAGGGGAGCCGCAGATGACATTGTTTACAACTGTGCCCGTGCTAAGCTGCTCAAGCCACATCTTTAACTCTAGTATGCTGCAAGAGCAATCCCAGGGATTCTCGAACAAATCGACCTGCACAAGCGCTGTAAGCTGATCTAAGACGCCACTAACCGGCAGATATCTCAGATGGTTGTTGCGAAGATTCAGTCTGGCTAATGTCAGGCCGCTAAATGTTCCTACTGGCAGAGTTTTCAGGAGGTTGTTGTTCAGGAAAAGAAGCTGAAGTCTGGGCACGTTCTGAAAAGTGTCAGCGACAACCTCTTTAATGACGTTGTATTCTAAATATAGGAACTGCAAGCTCTCCAAACCGTAAAACATATCAACTGTTAGACGGTCAATCAGATTCCCATTGAGGTACAGTCGTCTTAGATGTGTCAAATCACCAAACGCCCTATCATGTATGCGTGCAATGCGATTATTACCAAGATGGAGCAAGTCTAATCCAGTTGCCTCATTGAAATCTGACCGACGCACCACTGGGATATAATTCCCTGTTAGGTACATCTTTTTGGGATTGTAAGGTTTGGGCTCTAAGTCAGAGATATGCTCGATCTTTCGCTCCTGGCAGTTCACATTCAACCCAAGGTCTGAGATTTGAAGATTGCAGGTACAGGCAGTTGGGCAATCTAAAGGCACAGGGGATTTGGTTTGATACGAAATGATCTGACCATAATTTTGCGGTTTATTTGATGGGCTGCGAGCTGTAGGTCTTGATTTTAATTTTCCTGACTGGCGTGGTCCCTTGGTGGGTCTTGATGAGGACCGTGCAATCCCGGATGAGGTTAAGGAAGCCGTGACTAAAGATGGCGGAGTCCTATGGTATGCATCGGTGCTCAAATGTGGCAGTGGTGGCATTTCATATTCAGCAATAGCTCTCCTCGGGCATAACTCCTGTTTTGAAACCTCATCAAGATCTCTCCCATGAAGCCGGAAAGGGAACTCGCAAACAACATCTCCAACTAAAGCTGTGTAAGAAATGCTCTCCAGCCAGGTTTTTAGAGCAATCAGCTCACAGGAGCAGTTCCACGGGTTCTCCTCGAGCTGCAGCTCCACTACGCTGTTCATGTGCTCCAGTAGACCCAAGTATGGCAGCACTTTGAGTTGATTACCCCGCAAGTCTAAATGAGTCAATGGCACATACTGGAAAATGTTCACAGGCAGAGTCGATATTAAGTTGTCATTTAGGATCAAGACCTCCAGTTGTCGAAGTCTGCTGAAGGCGTTGGGTGCCACATGTGTGATAGAGTTATAATCAATTTGGAGGTACTCCAGACTTTCAAGGCCAGAGAAAAACTCTTCCTTCAAGGCATCGATTTTGTTATTGTTGAGATGTAATCGTTTTAATCCCTGAAGTCCATTAAAAGCTCCTGCCTCAACCTCAGATATGTCGTTATTTCCAAGATGTAGTATTGTAAGTCCTTTGTAGTCGACAAAATCATTGGCAGACAGCTTTTTCAGCCTGTTCCCTGTAAGCAGCAGATGATACTGGGGGAAGTACACTGGGCTTATGTCTGAGAGACTTTGAATGCCTCTGTTTTCACAGCTCACTGTCAGTATCCCCTCTCTCTCCTCACAGGCACATAGTCTTTGACAAATCTCTCCATAGCTGCCAAACATCTCCACAGTGCACACTGACGTTGCACTTAGCAAGACATATGAAATCCAAAGATGCATTTTCCTGCAACAATGATGGCCAAGCTCACAGTCCGGCTAAGAAATCCTCAATGTCATCTAGAAATAAAAGACACACACATGGTGATGTCAAACAGTAAGCAGTGAAAGCAAGTTCCACACAAACACACTCACTCACACTCACACACAGAGCAGGCTGCTGCCTGCATGAGTCAAAGCTTCATTTGCTGTTACCCAGAGGTAACTTCTGGCTTTGTTGGCTGCTGATAGAAAATGGCTCAAACAAAGCAGGGCAGAAAGCAACTCCTTCAAGCTATGAAAATAACAAAAAGCAAGGTCAAAGCGAGACATGAGCACAAAACAATACTCTAAATCTGCTGGAAGGGGAAAGGAAGCCATATCGCGTTTCCTTGTTAAGACATGAAAAATGCAATTAGACACTGGTTTGAATAGAAAGATATGTAAATTAACACTATGTTAGCTGAGGATTGTGCATCAGTGCACGCCTTGTCTGACAGGAGAGACAGCCTGCATAATTTCCAACTCCTGGTACGAACACATACCTCACGCACATCGATGAAGATGTAGGCTCGTTAGGTGTTTCGGAGCGTCTTTCATTTTTTAATCCGTGAAAGCCAAAGAGGAAACAGGATCTATTTAACGCGAGCGCGCTCTCATAGTACTTCTCTAACGCACCGGAGAGGATGCAAGAACCGCTGATCAACCATAACTGCCAAATGCTTCTCTTTGAGCCACGCTGTGCCGGAGGAGACACAGCTATGCCTGGTAACAAAGTTGCTTACTCCCCCCTGTCTCTCTTGCTCTCTCCCTCTGTGGCTGGACGCCCGCTCCCTCTTTCTCTCTCTCTCAATCCATCTCTCTCTCTCTCTCCCCCTCACGCACGCACGTAGGCACGCACGCACGCTCAACTCGGCAGTCGGGAGGTTGTCAAGTCATTTCATGCACAAAGAATCAGCTCACTGGAGCATCCTACAGAGATACATACCCCCAAAAGATGTTCACCAACCTACAGGAAACGCATCAGAAAAAAAAAACAAACAAAAAAAAATTTCAATAATTCACTGAGGTGGGCACGCGCAACTGAAGCTGTCTGCTAAACCGCTTATCATGTTACTCATCCTCAGAGAGAAAGAGTATAATCTCTCTATCCTGTGATGTTGGGGAGCTGGGGAGGAAGTGGAAAAGACTAAAACATGGGTGACAATGAATCATCCGTGTTTTGACCTAACCTGAACTCATTACATCTGTGCAACATCACACTAGGAGAGCGGCAACACTGGTGCTATTTTTAGACGTCTCACCTCAAAAAAGGCAGAAAAAAAGTAGAAACAGTTGTTAATGTAGTCACAGTACATCTGTCTTTCCCCAGATTTATTCTGCAGGTCAAAGGTCAGGGTTGTTTTATGCCGGGTCATATCTGGGTGACAGTAAACCTTTGAGTGAACTGTCACACTGATCCCATTTCAACCCTTCAAAACCGGCATGTCAGTGCTGATGTATCCAGTGCAGTACAGCCTTTATAATATTGTCATCCACTGATTGAACCCTTCAACAACTTTCTCTCAGAAGGATGTGCATTGATCAACTTTTCCAGCTGAAGAATTGTAAATATAACTGTCAAAATGGGGGAATATCTGCCTACTGGTTTATTCACATGAAAGACCAAGACAGGAGTCAGACAGAGTGCATTTCCCCCTAATCTTAATGAAAACCAAACAGCCCTGTTATGAGTTCATAGAGGTATAATTAGAGGGAATTATTCTGCTCTTTCATTTTAATATATCAGCTTTGGCATCTGAACCGGTGCTGCGTGCCTTGCATACAAAGCAAAGTGAAGGTTTAGTCATGGAGCAAAAGGTAGAGTGAAAGACCAGTCATGTCCCTTCTCAGCCTGATGTGCCATCACTCATGAGGAAACATGTCAAGTATCGTTGTATACGACCGTGTCCTCGTGAAGCCGTATCCATCATCCTCTCCACTTGGCTCCAGCTCACATGGGACGAGAGCAGGCACATCAGGGACACTGCCTGTGGCTCATATTAAAGAGTATGAGGGCTGTATTCATGCTGCATGCAGTTCGTTTGTGCTTCTGTTTCCGCTGCCTTCAGAGGTTTGCGCTGCATATTGGGCTAGAGCCTCAGCATTGGATAAACCCCATCATTACACCGCTATTTTTGCATATATTAGCATTTATGTTTGATGCAAATTGCGCAGCTGGTTTATATCTTATTTTGACCAAAATAGCAGCTGCTGCCAGTGTCTGAGTGAGCAAACTTTTAACACTTATCAAATATTCTTTTAGATTTTGTTGCAGGACTTTTGAGTGTTTACATTTTTGTGTATATCTGATTGCATCCCTGCAGTATGTTTATCAATGTTTACATCCGGACCGTGAGGCACATGCGGGCGATGCATGATACGAGCCTCATTTAATGTCTCTCCAAGTCTTCCATGACACTGAACATAATCCTCACCAACTGGGAGCAGGAGATGGCACTCTCTGAACACATGCTTCCACAGAAACACACACAGAAACACACACACAGGCGCATGCACCTGAAAAATCAGCATAACAAGTGACTGCAAGAAAATGATGATGACTAACTATTATGTGCTCCAAGGTCAGGAATACACAAATGAAGCTGGAGACGTGCCAGAGAGGATGATGGGTAGTGTCTCTGATATATGTTCCTTGCAGATGGTGCGTCCTCACTTTGTCAACTGTGTCCAGCTGGAGCTTACAAGAACACTCGGCATCCAAGTGAACTGTTCTGCCATAGTCTGGCGGGAACATCCCTGACAGGGGCTCCCACAAGCCTTTGTTGCATCAGTCGGATGTTACACAGCTCAAAACAAGACAACACTGAGCCTTTAAAGACTTTCCTGTCAGAACATTATGCATTTATTTTAGTGTGATCTTACTCTTTAAAACTCCAAAGTTTGGGTCCCTGTGAATATTTGTACTGTACGAGCGACCTATTTATAGACAGCAAAAAACTAAAAACACTCCTTTGATCATTGTTTCTTTGCTCGCACCTTGCCATGGAGTTAAGTGTGCTTGCAGGCCTGTTTAGAAATCTCTGTACTGAGAGCGAGGAGGTCAGAAGAGACTTTAAACAGCTACTTTAAAGAATTAAACGGGTAAAACGAAAGGGGGTGACATTGAAGAGATTCCAGACTCACTGCATCATGCATAATCTCTCAGAACTCAGTATCCACCAGGGAAGCGCTGTGTTTCTCCAACAAGACCAAGATCTCCCTGAACTGTAGGCTCCACTGAACGACGAAAAGAGGTACTTTGTGTCAGGGACTATAAGAGCAGCTTGCAGTGTTGGAAGAAGCAGGAGAGAAAGATCAAGAAGGTTAAAAGGAAAAAAAGACCTCTTACATGAGTAAGACTGCAGAGAAATGTGAGGCTGGTGGGAGCATGAAAAACATCTTTGGATACAAGAAATCTAACAGCGGGCAGTCTGAGAACATGCCTCCCCCTGGTATCTGTGCTGGCCCTGCGGGAAGGCAGGGGGGAGAAAAAGATGATGGCCACATTATCAGCCACCTCACACCCCCCACGTGGATCCCTGAATGCCCAGGGCTGCTTCCTCCACAGCAGGCAGCTCCATAAATAAAAGCAGAATGCAACATGGTTTTCATCTCTGCTGCACAGAAGCTCAGCAATTATAATCCCAAGATAATTAAATGTAATTTTCCATACTGGCGGCTCTTGAATCCTTTATTATTCTGCACAGTGTTCTGCTTCTGTTTGCCTCATATGCCTTATTGATTTCAAATGCATATTTTTTATGCTGAATCTGGCATTATGCTTGCTATAAATTCATAATTATATGTTGTTGCAATTGTCTGCTCCTCAGGCGGTAAATTTCATGAGCTGGGACGTTATTCTTCAGACTTTGTGTTGTTGACCATGTTTTTGTGTAAAAACTGTAAACTCACAGACTCTCTGTGATATTGTTTGAACTTATAGAGGCTCTTGTCTGTGCGTCCCAAGTTACAAATGATTCTCTGAAGATTCTGACACCATGTGAGAAAAAGGTTAATGTATGTTTATTACAGGGTTATGTAAAGAGGTTAATATGCAAATTTGAGTTCCAACATAGCAAAACCCTATGTTAAAGGGACTGCAACCTGCATTAACACCAGCTCACCGTATATCCTCCTGTTAATACTAAGATAAAGACAGAAGTAAGCTGACACAAAAATCTCATTCAGGTTTTTATTCATTTCAAAATGTTTGAAAGTGAAAAAGTCTCTCTGTTTCAAAGCTTGGTCTCCATGCAAATTAACAGAACAATTTAATTTTTAGTCAAGTTCAGAACATATAGCTGGTTTATTTGTCAAAATTCACATTAAACTGAACATTTCTATTAAAGCTCCTGTGGGGAATTTATAGTTTGTGTTGCTATTGGTGTCCCCTATGGACAAAGAAGTCCCTCTGACCATTTTGTCAATCTATTCTGAATGAAGTGACATGACAAAAAAATCTCCTCCAATCATATTTTAATGTTTAAATAAGTTATACATCACAAATATGTGTGTAGTTGAAAATATAATAATGGCTGTCACTGTAGAATGACTTACCACCTGCCCCCTGCTGGTGGTTCCCAGGGCTGTAATATTAAATACAGTATAGAAATTTGTCTCCTTAAAAGTCTTACTCCAATATGTCACACAGATCCATTATAGTTCATTTCAATTTGTTTTATAACCAATAAAAAATCCTCATAATAGCTTCAAAGATTATATTAGACGAGCTGAATAAAATGTCTGTAAGAATATTAATATTGACATTTCCGACCTCATTCAGCTCCCCTTCTTCTCTCAGCTCTGCAGTTGACACACAGCTAATAGTTTAAGTTACTTTGCAGTGATTGGCACAGATGAGATCAAACATGCACTCATCAGCTCTGCTGCTGTTGCATGGATTGCAGGACAGGTTCTTGCTGTTTTTTTCTTTTTTCAATTAGAGGTTGTTGGGATTCATTATTTCCTGACTCATTAGACCAGCTTGAGACAGAAACATTATTTTTTTGCTATGGTGTTTACAAATGACAAAAAATAAGGAATGTTAAAACAATTTTCACAGCGTTAACGGACAAAACAAAATGTTTCAGTCTCCTTTTAATGGATTGATTTGATATGACATGTATGTATCAGGTTGTCCTCAATATTGCTTTTGCTATTGAGAAATATTCCATTGAGTTCAATAAAGAAGTGCACAAAAGACTGCAGTTCCACAAGTGTCCACTCGAGGCTGGCTCCAAAAGTTAGGAAAACCTCATTAGAGTTATACTTGGCTATGCAAACACTGCAGGCCCTTAATGTTCAAGTCTGATTCACTATTTTCATGTCGACATTAATTTTTAAATGTGAGCTGCCCTGAGCTGACCTGCATTTGTTAGAGAACAACCACAAAGATGTCACACATGCCTTAGTGCTTATGGAAGTGAACATGGTGGCTGCTGTGCTTTGGCAGGCTTCTCTGACTGACATTTGAGTAAATTAAATGTCATTAGGTCTATAATGAGCCCAGGGACAGCTCGTTAACTTGCCTCTTTCAAAGTCAGTATCATGGCAGCCAAATGAACTGGTTTTACTCTGTACAAGTTTGACGCTCCTCTTCACCTACGTCAACAGAGCTATCAGGAAGCTCTAATGGCTGACAGCTGTGTCAATCACCTAAATTATGGTCTGCCGACCAAAGCTGCATGTTAGTTACTCTCCCCAACTTCTTTAAACCCGGCTTTGAGGCTCTTCACTTTCCACTGACACTTCAGCCATGTTCCCCTACGGCCGTGTTTGGCCATTTCTTTTAATAAACTTTAAACACAAGTCTGTAAAAAATATCACCCCCTCAGGTCCTAAATCCTAAATA